CTAGTAGATGATTGTTAGTGATAAGATCCTGGATAATGGCCGACGTGTAAATCACTTACATGATCGCAACGAAGTTAACCACGAAGACCGCAATCGGATTGGCTCGAACGGCATAAAGCGCAACTGCACAAATATAGAATTAGCACGCGTACTCCCATACATGAATAGCAAACAGGAAGAAGAGCAGGACATACTTCCAACAGGCGCAGCAATCAAAAGCACATTGATCCACGAGTTCAAGATAGTAGCCCTTAACTGCGATGCAAAAGTGAAGCTCTTATTACTCGAAAGCGACTTCTTATCCTCCCACTCATCGTCATCATGGCGATTCTTAAACTTGCCCAAAATACCACCCTTCCGCTGACGCGCTTGCACGGATCCAACAGTCTCAGAGTCAACCCCGCGCACCGACGAGACATTGATCGGATCCTGGCTAGCCATGGACGGTTCAGGCGGAGATTTGTGGGTCTCATGCTCGCCGCCAGCGAACTCTGGTGGGAATGTGTTCGAGTACTCCGGGACAGTAATGCCGTCGTTCATTTCCTGTCGGCGTTGTTGGTCTGCTGGGAGGTCGTCCAAGGTCTGGGCGTGGGATAGTCCATCCTCGAGCTGCATGGAGTTCGATCGGTTGGGCCTGCTTTGCATGCGCTTTTGGAATGGGTTGAGTGAGGGGCCGTACCATGCTGATGTGCGGGCCGCATGGCGAATTTTGTCTAGTTGTATTCTTAGTATGGCTGGCTAGTTGAGAGGTTGAGTATTCATAGATGTTGGACTTACGCATGATGGTGGTGGATTGATAGGAGCTTCTGTGGAGAAATGGATTTGTGAGTAAGCGCGGTCTTGCCAGATGTATTTAAATATCAAAAGAAAGGACAAAGCAACAACGATTGCCGGGAAATAGCGTAGTAGTGAGCCTTGGGAGGTTATATTTGGCCCAAATAATACACGCGCGCCACAGAGCGTGGCTTGGACCCGCGATGTCTGGGACGGATGCCTATTGAGAAGGGTTGGGGGAACACGTACTTGCTAACGGGTTCGATGTGGATAGTTCAGCTGGTTCACAGGCTGAAGCAGTTACGGCAGTTTAAGCGCTAGATGTGGATGTGCCTCAAAATACAGCCACAGCAGGATGATGAATGGCGGATCCGTGATGTTCAAAGGGGATCCGAAAATGGAACGCGCACAGGGGAACGGTGAGAATCAGACGCAAAGCAAGGGGTAGGCTAGAAGTCAACAAAGACTAAACGAGTGACAATTATGAAACGAGGACGGTGAAGAAGCGAGCATAAGGAGTGACTCGAAAATGAAGGGATAGAAATTGCCTGGTAACAATTTCCTGAGTGTCTTTAGGAAACAGACTTCGAGAAGACCTGAAAAACACAGCCACACTGATAGTACGTATTGGTATAGTGTGTATAGTGGAGTAAATACTATAAGCTTGGCGTCTAGAAAAAAAGAAGAAAAAACAAAGCTCGGGTCGCGAGAGTTGTCGGTATAAAGTGTAGGCAGTTGGCAAAGAACCGGTCAGAATAAGTATCTCTTTCAAGCCCAATTTTATAAATCCTTGCACAGACTGCGTCAGATCAGATATCGTGAAATCGTCAATGTTGATGCGTTGGATGCATGAAACTCCAGCGCCACTCAAAACCTTGGAACCGAAAGCTTCGTCAGTGGAAGCTTTGTTCCGTGTGCTTGGGTGACTTGGCATAAACTTGTTTTTTTGAGATCGCCCATTCTGCGGTGTTCAAATAGAATGGTCACACCGCACCTGTTGGATTCCCTCGGGCATTCCTGCAGATGTTGACATACGATGTACCACATAGCGGTGCAATCGTGGCACAGAGAGAGACCAGGCCACAAATATGGGTCTTCCGTTTATTGGGAGCAAATTTCATCCAACGCAAATTGTGTAGGGGGTTTTGACCCGCTCTTGGCAGTGTTTGGATCAATCAAATGTCGAGTATTGATTTCCACAACACGCCTAAACGCCACAATCCCCTTATTCTTTTTTGTCATGGTGTTGCTTCCCCAAGCCAGACGCATGATGAAACAATCACGTGTGGATTTTCAAGGTGTGGTTTTCAGGTTGTTGGTTGGTGCCCGTCTAAGCGCTGGGCGGCGCCAGGGCCGTGGTCACCTAAGCAGGTGCCCTCGGCCCCGGGGAGTCCTAATGGTGCTTTGGGAGGGGACACGCTCCCCCAACAAATGATTGTAGTCCTATCATAAGGCATGCCGAGGTCAATATTGACACTTGTTATAGGCTGACTCTTCGTGATAAGATCGTGATCAATGATCAAATCGGTCTCGGGCAAATACTGTGGGTGTCAGTAGCTTGCACTCGCTCTTTGACCCTACCAAAGCAAATGGCTGTCGTCATTCCGAAGAGATATATATCCATGAACACTCAGCTTACTTAGCTGCACTGCCGACGTAGTTATCATCTTTCCAGTTCTGTTGCGTTGGTGTAGGGTCTGCGGTCGGGCAGTTGTTGAAGCGAAGTGTAGAGGCAGAGTGAGAAGGCAGAGTAAATGGCCAATACCTAGGTAGTATGTTAGAAATTCACCGAAAAGGAAAAAGAAAAGTTCAGCCCTATGGATTTCCGCATGTTAAAGGGCCCCGAAAATAGCTGCTGCCTACCTCGCGCTAGCCACTTCGAGCCATGTGACTTTTAGCTCTCCACTTGGGACTTTTATGTCTATGAATTTCATTTGAAACCTCTCTTGTTCAGATTATTCGCAGTCTCGATTTCTAAAATAGAGGATAAATAAATCTTGTTTGAACCATTGCTTATTGGAACTTGTGGAGAGTTCCCCATACCTGCCAGCTAGTAATATGCGTGGATGAAGGCGCTTAGGCTTATGCCCACAGACTACCTACTTACCTACAAAATAGGTAAGTATGTCTCCATATTTCCGTATTGGCCATCACTAGTTGAAGTAGACCGTGAAATTACGACGCCCAAGCTTTGGCCGATGATGATAGCAACAAGATACTTATGAAATGCCTATCTACCATCCCTAACGGTGTGGGAGCGAGCATCGCACACAATATTGCCCGGGAATACTGTGTTGATCCCACTTCCAGCTATAACGGCACCGAGTCGAATAAAGATATTCTGGACTTTGGACATGACGTATCTTTTGCTGTGGTAGGTCGGTCCATTACAAGAGCGTGCAACACATTACATGTATCAATGTTAGGGACGGGTACTTCGTACATACTGTATAGTTGTATGTATTTAACTGTCATATTCAACGTGTACCCCGGTTTAAACGGCAAAGGGGAATCAGTCTCTATTGGTCCGTAGAGGAAAAAGTAAACATCTACCTTGTACCACGCAAAAAGCCAATAACTAATACCCAGAGAGTTCCAATAGCCAGAAAATATCTCATACAACATACTGATAATGGAGTAAAGAATCCACCCGGACTCCATATCAAGCGGGTTATTCAGTCGCCACAAAGCTTGGTAGAGTAAAATATGTACGAAGCGTTGAACGGGAAGGGACTGACCGTATATCGTATGCTCAAATCGGACCCGCTTTTGACGTGATCTATGATATTCAGGGGTGCAGCTACCCCTGAGCTGCACTGCCTGGTCCTGGCCTCGAATGGTATGGTCTGCGTTTGGCTCTATGCTGTACTCCCTCCGTAGGTTGTCTTTTTTTTTTTTAGAATGGACAGGGTTATGCAATTATCCCTACCGAATTTATAACATAGAGAAGAGGGCTATGATAACCTAGCGGGTGGAAATATCGGTGCCTACTCTGCCGTCTGATCGCCCCTGCAAATTTGAGCATATAATTTTTGTCCGTCCCGAGTGAAAATGAGATGAATAGAAAGTTACTAGATTGTACAATATATGTAACATACTCGATACAATGGTTAATCATAGCATTGATGGATCCAAGAATATCTAAGGTTATATATATATTCAATGTTGAAAAGTTGACCGCACCCTCTCAGTATTTTCCTGTCTTTTTCTACGGCCTAAATATGAAGATTGAGAAGGGAAAGACGATATCTAAGAAAAAGTCATATATATAATACATATAAGACCGCATAAAAGCAACCAACTATTTTTGTCACAAATCATCGATACAACTCGTAAAGTGAGACATTAGGCAAAAATGTCCCAGAAGTAGTACTACCTACTCGGAACACAAACTCTTCGGGGCGTAGACTTTGATATCGATCCTACTATGAGGTCTGTATTTCTTTTTAACTGACCCCAATTTACAAGCCTTAGCCAAGGATGCCCAGAATTTATAACGAACGTCATAGCATTGATCGCCCTTGGCAACGAACAAGCTTTCCGAGTATACGGAGTATTAGTATATAGAGTATATGATGATGGGTTATTACTTTGTACCCCTTGCGAGCCGTGTCTGAATAAGTTATAAGTTATAAGATACATAGATTAATACCAAATAAATGAATGTGACATTCCATTCCCTCCAGTCAGGGTTCTCCAGGGTCCTTAGTGCATCGTCAGCCGTCCACGGGTTTACTAGCGCATACATTTGTTTCAGGGGGGCAAATAAGCAAAGGATGTAATGGAAAAAGGCTTGAAAGTAGGGAATAGTGGAGGATTAGTGGAGGATTAATGGAGGATTAGTGGAGGACCAGCGGAGGACCAGGACAGGGACAGTGGGAACATAAGGGCCAATGATCGGGGGATCTCTCTTTATATTTGCCAATCACATCTTTCAATTGATTTAACTGAAAATAAATAAATAAATATAGAACTGAAAAAGAATAAAATAACCCAACTCATTATGATATGCAACCCGATATACCCACATGTATGCGCGTACACAACCCCCCTTGTCCTCCACTTTCCCCCCTCCTCTCCCTTCTAAGGTCTCTTTTCTTCTCTTCCCTTCCTACCACCTACGTAGATTTTCTCTTTCTTTTGATTTCTTATTTACATTCGCTATCCTTACAGAGACGGTGTGTACCCTCGTTAGACATTCTTTAGGATTTCATTTTCCTTGAACAATGAAGGCCTCTATCATCGCTGGTCTCTCCCTTCTGGGAGCGGCCATGGCTGCCGATGTCCCCTCTATTGAGATTAAGGGCAAAAAGTTCTTCTACTCCAACAACGGCACCGAATTCTTCATCCGTGGTGTTGCCTATCAACCCAACTTCACTGGTCGCAACGGTGCTTCCGGCAAGGACTCATACACCGACCCGCTGGCCATCGACAGCTGCAAGCGCGATATTCCCTACCTGACCCAATTGCGTACCAATGTTGTCCGTACCTACGCCGTCGACCCCAGCAAGGACCACGATGAGTGTATGACCGCCCTCGCCGATGCCGGTATCTACCTCATCACCGATCTGTCCTCGCCCAGTGAATCCATCGAATCCGACGACCCTACCTGGAACTCGGATCTCTTCACTCGTTACTCCCAGGTCGTCGATGCCTTCGCTAAGTACCCTAACGTCATCGGCTTCTTCGCCGGAAACGAAGTCGCCAACAAGGTCAACAACACCAACTCCATGGCATACGTCAAGGCCGCCGTCCGCGACATGAAGTCCTACATCAAGCAAAAGGATTACCGCAGCTCCCTCGCCGTCGGTTACGCCACTGATGACGATGCCACCGTCCGTGAAGCCGTCTCCAACTACCTGATCTGCGACGAAGCCGCCGACTCCATCGACTTCTTCGGCTACAACATCTACGAGTGGTGCGGCGACTCCACCTTCAAGGAATCCGGCTACGAGGAGCGCACCAAGGAATTCAAAGACTACCCCGTCCCCGCCTTCTTCTCCGAGTACGGCTGCAACGAGGTCCGTCCCCGCAAGTTCACCGACGTCCCCGTCCTGTACAGCGACAAGATGACCGACGTCTGGTCGGGCGGTATCGTCTACATGTACTACGAAGAAGCCAACAAATACGGTCTCGTCTCCGTCGACGGCGACGACGTCAAGACTCTCCCGGACTTCAGCAACCTCTCCAAGCAAATGGCCTCGGCAACCCCGACTGGCGTGGAATCCGCCAAATACAGCGCCTCCACCACGGTCGGCCGTAGCTGTCCCACCATCGGCTCGGACTGGAACGCCGCTAGCAAGCTGCCCCCTCGCCCAACGCTGACCTCTGCGAGTGCATGGTCAACTCCCTCGAATGTGTCCCCAACTCCGATATCACCGACAAGGAAGTCGGAACGACCTTCAGCTACCTCGGCGGCGAGGACGGTGTCATGAACGGTGTCAAGCACAACTCGACTTCCGGTACCTACGGTGCTTACTCCATGTGCTCGGCTAAGCAGCGTCTGGCCTGGGCTATGAACGCCTACTACCAGAAGAACAAGGGCAAGGCTGGTAGCGAGGCTTGTGGATTCGATGGTGTCGCTAAGACTAAGAAGTCTACCTCTGCCTCTGGCTCCTGTGCTACTCAGATGAGTGCTGCAGGCTCGGCTGGTACTGGTGCTGTCAGCGGTGGTCTTGCTGCTAGCACTGGTGCTGGTGCTTCTGGCTCTGCTTCTGCTGGTGGTGCTACCTCCTCTGGTATTGCTGCTGGTACTGTTCCCCAGGCGGTGAACATCGGTGTCTGGCAGGCTGGTGCTTATGCCGTCGCTGCTGTTGCCTCTGGTGTCTTCATGATCATGCTGTAAACTACTATCTTCATGATTTAGACTTGACTTTCTTTTTTTTTTTTTGGACTTCCTTACATAGCCCCTATCCAAATTGGAATTGTGGGATTTGCTTTTTTTTTCTGTAACATTTGTTTATACATACTCCCTTATTTAAACTGCTAACTAGCGGGTGTTCTATTATCCCGGATACTATTTCAGAATCCACTAATGAAATATTTAAACAAGTCTTCCTTTTGTAGCTTGTATTTTCCTAACTACCACATAGTTGTCGGTATGTTATAGTTATGAATTTTATTCATACAAAATCGATAACTATCGACTACATGATTGGTCATCATTGAGCTATATTGATAGCTCATAGAACAACACTATTGGCTTAAACATGTCCAGGTGACGTTCTCCAATTTTCACGAGTCTCACTTTGCTTTTTTTTCGCTCCTCTCTCCTTGTCCATGTAAAATTCAACACATTCATCGCATTGAGTGAAGGTGAACCCCGAGACCACAAGGTGTCTACTCCACTTACAAGGCTTGGAAAGTCCATCCCGAAGTATATCGAATGTCAAACAAGAAAATATCAAATGTAATAATTAAGATCCACGTTGGTCTATCTAAATATCATAGACCTTTTCCATGGCTATATTCCCGCCCACAAAAAGATTGAAAACAACTCATCCCAACCAAATCCGACAGCCCTCTCCAAAAAGTGACATCCATTCCAATATACAAGTACATACATATAGTTAGGTAAATTTTATCTACCGTCTATCTTTATGCCGTATTTTACCCTATGTATATTCACTCCTCAGGACGCATGTAGAAGAAAATGTAAAAACAACGCTCAAAATGTAACTTTTCCACCAAAAACTAACAGCAATTAGTTGGTGTCCTCAGGGAAGTACTCCTTAAGAGTTTCCAGGACACCCTTTTCAGCAATGTCCTTCATGGCCTTCTCCATCTCATCGGTGAACCGTTTGTATCCGCGCAAGTCGTCACCGAAGAGGCTCTTGATTTGGAGCAGGCCATGGGGGCCCTTGTCATCCCCAGCTGCAGCCAGAAGATCGTTAAGCATGGGGTCAACGACCGTGAATTTCTGGCCGTGGTCATCAACACCTCGGATGTACAGGAACCAAGAGGCGGCGACGAAACACAGACGACGGAAAGGATAATCACGGTTCTCTTCCTTGCTCGCCATAATGGCCTCGGCAATGGACGGCATGATAAACTGTGGGATCTTGCCAGAGGCATTGAGACAGACGCGAGGCAGCTGGTCCATGATTGTGGAGTTGGAGAAGCGCTTCATGAGCGTTTTGCAATAGTCGTCGATGTTGACGCCTGGAATCTCCGGCAAGTGCGGCTTCACCTCCTCCTGCATCATCTCCCACACCAACTTGCGCAGCTGCGGGTTGTTCATGACTTCGTGCACGTATTTGAAGCCCGCCATTTGGCCCGGGTATCCGATGGCCGAGTGGCTGCCATTGAGTAGACGGAGCTTGTGCTTCTCGAACTGCTCGACGTCGTGGACATTCTTGACAACCTGGACACCGACCTTCTCGAATGCTGGACGTTCATCCGAGAACTGGTCCTCGATGACCCATTGCATGAAGGGCTCTGTGACGACGGGCCACGCGTCTTCAATTCCAAACTCCTTCGCCAGTGTCTCTTTGTCATTCTGTGCTGTCTGAGGTGTGATGCGGTCGACCATGGCGTTGGGGAAGGCGCCTTTCTCAGCAATCCAATCCGCGATCTTGGGGTTGTGCAAGCGCGCGAATGACACTAGCATGTTGCGTGTGATGGACCCGTTCTTCTGCATGTTATCGCACGACATGACGGTAAAGGGATCTTGTTTGTTCTGGTAGCGTTGTGCCAGGGCAGCGTAGAGGAAACCGAAGGTAGTGGACGGCGCGTTCACGTTCTTGAGGTCGGCCTTGATATCGGGGTGGTCGCTTATCAGCTCGTGGGTGTTTTCGTTGTAGTAGTAGCCGCTTTCGGTGATGGTGAGCGACACAATGCGGGTATCAGGGTGGGCCATCTTGTCGATGACAGCTTTGCGGTTGTCCGGGGCAAAGAGGTAGGAATTGATGCATCCAACAACGTGGGCAAGGCTTCCCTTGTCAGAGCGCTCCATGACGGTGTAGAGGTGATCCTGCTCTTTCAACACATCACGCATGGCAACATCAAAGGGTTGCAAGCCAACGCCGCAAATTGCGTAGTCAGTCTCATTATGATCCCGCATCAACTTGTCAACATAGACAGCCAGATGAGCTCTGTGGAAACCACCGACACCAACATGGACGATTCCCTCCTTAACTTTGGCATTGCGGGTGACATTGAGCTCACGGTAGGTTGGGATTTGGAGCTTTCCCTTGCCTAGCTTCCCAATGGCTGTCAGGTTCTTGGTGCTGAGCTTTAGGGCTGCCATTGTGATCAGAGGAATTGTGAAAAGAAAAAAGAAAGAAAAAAGGAGTGAGCTTGAAAGAAAGATGAAAGACCAGCAAGGGTCACCGCTGGTTTTGACCGCTGATCCTGGAAAATGAGCTGGGCGAATATTACATCATGTGGACTCAAACCGCCACCCCTGAAGGTGTCCACCTTCCACTGCAAAGAGCCATATGGAATAATCCTTTTGGCATCTGATTAGTTTGTTTTTGGGTAGTGGACCAGTCTGTTCTCAGCTTTGGAAAGTCGTGAGCGTCTAATAATAAAAAAGCACCTTGCGTCAGAGCTATCCGCTTCCGATCTCGGGGGCCGAGAACGTTCTTCTGCCGGGGGTACTTGGCCCCTTTCGGGGATTTTGTTGTTCTCGGGAACTCTTTTTTTAAGGTCAAGATAGACATGGCATGGAGTTTCCCTATACGGAGTAGAACTGAAGAATGAAAACTCTGACGGACTGAAAAGTACAGTTTCAATTTCAATATAGTTTATATGTATCTGTGAGATCATATAGCTGAAATGGGAAAGCCCCACCCGAAGGCAATTCGAGAGGGCAATCCGGTCTGAAGTTGCCACTTTTGAATTTTATTGGGAATGAAGGGATGAGCTGTAGTTTATTATACGCAACAACATCTCATCCTCTGGTAAGATGGCCGAGTTGGTCTAAGGCGCCAGGTTAAGGTATACCTTAACTCTACAACTAGCAATAGTTTCCTGGTCTCGCAAGAGGCGTGGGTTCGAATCCCACTCTTATCATGATTTTTTTGTATTTTTTTGAATTTCTGGCTTTTTGCTTAGATGAGGATCGATTGAAAAATCGATTAAAATTCTTTGTAGATTAATACATTCTCTAATTTCTATTCATAGTCGCAACTCCAAATCTATATATCCGGTATGCTAGCCAACCAATCCGGGGTAGACCTTTCAATAGCCCACAAAGAGGCCCAAGCCCCCGGCCTCGACGTGAAAAAAATATATATCACTTACCCAACAACATGAATCCCACTAAAAGAAATAGCAATGAACGTGGCAAAGACAGCAGATACTTTCCCACCATGATATAATTATATTGCACCATCTTCACCAGGAGAAGGAAACCGCGACGGTCCATCGGCAAAGAAAAAAAGTGAAACGCCCTGAGCCATCTATCCTTCGGGGCGGGCGGAGGAGTACTCTCAGGAAGACCTCGTAGGTGAAACAGCTCTGTGGAATTGCATCCATAGTCCGCCAGACTTCCTCTGGGATGGATATTGTCTCGACTATATCGCAAGAGTATGTTGATTGTGGTAGCCATATCCTTGGACCTGTTCCATCAGAAGCCATGAAGAAACATTCCACAGGCGAAATACGCGACCGTCCCAACCTCAAGCGGTGATATGGACAGCGTGTAAGCCGCTCGCGTCACCATATTGCAGGCTCTGTAAACCGTAAACACCACTCCCAGGGCATCAACCTTCGCTCGGTCTTGAATATCCTCATCATGAAAATCAGAGCGAGTAATAATCCCAGCTCGGATAAATACCAGTATATTCTTCGGTGTGACGGTATACTTAAAAAGAAAACTGGGTGTCCAGGGAACCACGGGAGTGCAATGTGGGCCTGGAGGGGGAGGTAGAGGGGAAGGAAGGAAGAAGGTAGAAGGGGAGGAAGGTCGAGGGGGAAGGATGGAGAAGGGAGAAAGAAGAAGAGAGAGAAATGAAAGGGGGAGAGGGGATATTTATACCTTCCCAATGGCTTGAGGCAAATAGGGAAGCTGGGATGGGCGACAAGTTTCAACCCAAAAGGGAAGGCGCCTACATGTTGATCGGAGTTGTCATCGAATTGCCCGTGGCGTCTCCCGACGAATTCAAAAAATCCATATAGGATGGCACGATACATGCTGCGTCACAGGGCTATTTCACACATATGGAATGCTCGCAATGTATTTCCGCTCGTGTCGGGATGTGATGCCACATCACGAGTCACGACTATCCCCCCCGGAGAATGCCGTGCGGATTGCCAAAATGCTCATGGTCTACCAGTTTATCTACTACAACGCCGTGGTCCCATCTCAAAAATTAACTAATATCATACGGTACCTAGGTATTTCCTCCATTACCATCATCCGAGTTCGTGTCCTCGCCACAGTCAATTTCACCGATTTGTCCTACTCGATGATCTGGGTTGCCCTCTGGAGTGTCACGAAACCCGCTCTTTCCATTTCAAATTCCTGCGTGCCCACCGATTCTTAAGTCCGCTTTCCCGTCCTTGCTCCATACTCGACGCAGCCGTCGACGGGACCTGTCCCGAGCAAGAATATTACGGCGAAATGGGTGCATGACATAGATGAGATGGATAGTGAGTTTCCGCTCACGCAATTGGACCAGTCACAGGATGGTCACTTGCAGTAGGACAACAATTCTGGCAGATACAGTGTTATTGCTTTATCCATTCGGACTTTCCTTGTCCTCCCACTTCATGCGCGAGAACCGTGGATTGTTTAGCCATAGGGGAGGTGCCGAGTTTTCGTCGGACACTCCCACTCGCTTTTGCATGCGGCATGCCACTTGTTAGGGTGAACTGACGGCCAGAGCTTGGTCGTCCTGAGATAATTGCTTCGCAAACATATGGTGAAAAAGAGGTTCTGAGATTGGCTGAAACTTGTGAGAACGCAACGAGAAAACAGACTTGCGGTTTCGCGCAATGTACCCAATTCCGACAATTTTTCCAATTCAAATGGCTGAGGCTGCCAGTCCACGCGGTCGACGATTGGCAGCCAACTAGCAATAGTACATCAGCCTTTGAAGTAAGAGATGGAAAATTGAGAGTCTCAGGATCGCTGGAGCACTCGTATTTGGGGTTATAATAGGGATCTGAAGTAAGTTGTACTAGTACTAAACTTTGTAGTATCTATGTTTCTAGCGCTATCGGAGGAACCGCGAATTCTCACGTAGTCTTCCGAATATTCGGCTTAGATTGATCGGATAGAGAGTCGATTTCCCGGTAAAGCTACTGTTCTATATCATTTCGTTTTGTTTTAGGTATAGTTAATTAGTAGGGCAGTAGAGTGGCGGAGCCTCGCTTGCGAGGGTCTGAAAGGGCCGGTTACCCAGCCACCTATCACCTAAAAGGATTGAAAAATGGAACTGCAACCTTTTCGCGGAATACGCACTAAACAAGGAAATACTTCATCAAACTTTTAGGTAATGGTAGATTATCTATTCCCCTATATACGGCCCTTGGTTTGTCCGAAGCAAAAAAAGTCTCACAACGGGGCGTAAAATGGGGTCAATGACACGTACTCCAAATTTAAGCGGTCAGTCTAGCGAAGTTCGATTGGCCCAGTATGGAACCACCTTCTGAGAAAGGATAGAAAGCCCCCCCACCCCCAGATAATTAGTGGAGATATCCCCAAGATGATGGATTAATGAGGGATTTGAGAGGCAAATCAATGGAGGTTTGAGTTTCCCCGCATTAAGAAAAGTGGACTGAGGTTGGACTAAAACATGTTGTGGGGAAAAGGTCGATGATGATCCTAAAACCGGAAATACTAGTATCTCACACTACTTCATCGTAGTTCAAATAAACGTTTCATAGATTAAGATAAAGACGATTCACCCCAAAAAAAAAAAGAAACTAATTACAAGCCAAAGTTAACAGTCAAGCCTTATCTCTGCATGGGTGGCGTGTCGGGGCGGCTCACCCATCTCACGATCCCCCTGAACGTCCCTGAAGGCTGAAACCTTGGCTGATGGCAATAAACACCGCACCGGTCTGGGCAGACGGGGTAGACCGGGAAATCCGAACCTAACCGGATAGACGGGTTTAAAGGGCCTAATTCCCGCCCTAATTACCATTATCTGTAGTTTGCAATTATTCCAATATGTCAGAGAAGCAAGAGAAATCATTAAGTCCTGTCCCTTCACGTGAAGGACAGGTCCTCGAGGCTCAGCATGATGCCGTTTTTGGAGAAATCACCGAAGAAGGTCCGAATTATCGCGATGTATGTTGCTTAACCTTGTAACTCTTTCGGTGTCGTGTACTAATCACTCTATACAATGTAGGTAGGATGGCTAGGAACATCCGTCTTGATGATGAAAACCCAAATTGGTCTCGGTGTCCTTTCAATCCCCGTCGCTTTCGATTCATTAGGCATAGTTCCTGGCGTAATATGCCTATGTGCTATTGCAGCCATCACAACGTGGTCCGACTATATAATCGGTGTCTTCAAACTTCGACATCGCGAGGTTTACGGTATTGACGATGTGGGCGAGCTGTTACTTGGCCGCACGGGAAGAATCCTACTCGGAGGTGCATTTGTTCTCTGTGAGTTGAATCCTAAAAAAAAACAATACACGAAGTCATAAGAGTGTCACTTGCTGACCCACAATAGGGTGGGTCTTTGTCGCCGGCTCGGGAATGCTGGGGATCTCTATCGGTCTCAATGCTGTCTCCGACCATGCCGTTTGCACGGCAGTCTATGTTGCCATTGCTGCTATTATAGCATGTATACTCGGTAGTATCCAGACATTAGGTCGTCTCTCTTGGCTCGCCTGGATTGGTCTGTTCTCTATCTTGACTTCAAGTGAGTATTCTTCTCGTGCTCTTTACGTCTAATCTAACCTGATTGTCCCAGTCATGATCGTCACTGTCGCCGTTGGTATCCAACCTCGTCCAACAGCCGCACCGAAAGACGCTGTCTGGGTTCCTGACTACAAAATTGTCAACAATCCAGACTTCACCGATGCCATGACTGCTGTATGTACCATCGTGTTTGCGTACGCCGGTACTCCAGCATTCTTCTCTATTGCAGCGGAGATGCGGGAGCCCCGTCATTTCAACCGATCGTTGTTCCTCTGCCAGGGAGTTGTCACGGTATACTATCTTGCGATCGGCATTGTTATCTACTACTACTGTGGATCATACGTTTCATCCCCTGCTCTTGGATCCGCTGGTCCAGTCGTAAAAAAAGTGAGCTATGGGTTTGCTCTGCCAGGCCTGTTGGTCAGCACATTGCTATTCATTCACGTAAGTTTGATAACAAAAATCGTCTATCGTCTACCTAAGCTAACAGGTATTTAGATCACTGGAAAATATGTCTTTGTCCGCATCCTACAAGGTTCCCGCCATTTGGCATCCAACACTATGACCCACTGGGTGGTCTGGCTTAGCTGCACTATCGGGACTGCTTTGGTCGCTTATATCATTGCTAGCGCTATTCCCGTGTTCAGTGATCTCGTCTCTCTTGTGGGTGCTTTACTAGGTACTCCCATGTGCTTCCAGCCAATGGGTGGTATGTGGCTGTATGACAACTGGAACCGTAAAGAGGGTCGCCGGTCGCCCAGATGGATGTTCATGGTCGGATGGTGCTTCTTCATCATAATAGCGGGAACTTTCTTGATGATCGGAGGTACTTATGGATCTGTTGTCAGCATTATCAAAAGCTACGAGAAGTCCGGAGGTTCGGCTGCCTGGTCTTGCGCCGACAATTCAGTTTAGATAGTTATGTTAATGTTTTTGTTAAATCAAACTTCTTTTTCTTCACACATTAAGATACTATCTTGGTGGGCCGTATCTCGAAGGAATGAGCCCGGAAATCGCCGCCTACAGACTGGGCTCAGAAATTCATCTCTATCACACAAAATATGATAGACCACACGTTAAGGTTTTCTTGGACGCTGATGTGAAGTCGGACACTTGCCTTGATTTCGGTAAAGGCTTTGACTTGAAGGTTTTGTTTGAGATGGATATGAGGCGGACTCAGTGACCCATGTTTTAGCTCACCTGGGCTATTTACACCTAAGCTGTGCACTTGTAGCTTCATTATCTAAACTCCCCCCTCGGGCTTTTTTGGCACACCGAGCCATATTTGACCACAACAAGTCAATCAATGGCAATTCTAGCACCCACTAACTCAACTATTTTCAGCAAACAGGTGTTGATTTCTGTCTGCTATAACACGAAAGAATGACACACTCTGCAGATTAAGTCACAGCTAAGAGCAAAAGTTTGGAGGCCTTAGTCGCCAGGAAGTGTAAAACAATGTACGAGAAGATGAACGATGTAAAAAGCTAATAAACGAGCACAGATACTTCATATTCATGTTTGTCTTTGGGTTCCTACTATACATGAAAGGTCATCAACAAAAGCTCAGTTCAAAAGAGGTGATTCTCAGTTGCTATCCAGCACAATAACCTCCGCTTCTACTTCCCCGACACTCTCCACGCGGAGCGCATCTCCAGCATTTACCATCGTGACAAAGGCCCCATCACCCTCCTCAAGAACGGCATCCTCCCTGCCATCGATCATAACCTTGGACTTGCCCTGTTTGGTCATGGGTAGGTGAATGTAAACATTCCGCTTCTTCCTAGACTCGACAGCTTCTCCGGCGCCAATAGTCCACTTAAATGTCGAAGCCGGCGTAATAATTCCAGCCCCCATGACGAAATCAGCATGAATGGGGATAGTACCGGAAATCTTGGGTACGGCAGCCTTTTCCTGTGCCGGGGTAGCTTCGGGTCCCGCAGCAAGCGGGGGATAAGATAGGAACAAATGCTTTGCGCTTTTCTTCCTCGCTAAATGTCATAGTGTGGTACTGTGGCTTGAGACTTTGCTTCCAGGGGAGTGCCCAAATTTGAAGGAAGTGAACCGACTTGTTGGATTCGTTCTGCTCCGAGTGTGCGATTCCTGTCTCACGTTAGCTTCAATTGACTTATCGGGGTAAATTAGAGGTTCGAGAGACTTGCCCGTTCCGCCCGTGGTGAATTGTACATCTCCCCGCTTCATTCGGTAAAATTGTTTCCCTTGCTCGCCCTCGGAGCCCTTCTTAACCATGCTATCCCGGTGCGTTAGCTCACCGTTTAGGATGTAGCTGAAGATTTCCGCATCGCGATGCGGATGCGTTGGGAATCCATTGCGCGCTGCAACACGGTCCTCATTTAGAACACGCAAACTTCCAAAATTATGGAATCGGTGATCGTAATAGCTGGCGAAGCTGAAAGTATGGAAAGATTTGAGCCAGCCGCCATGTTCAGCGTATCCACGTTCACTGGATCGGCGGAGAGCAATCTTGGCGTGGGCAAGGGAATTCGACATTATTTTAGTTTTAGATTGGTCAAATAGCACAATTGAAATGTGATTGTGGTTATTCTTTTTTGTGATTAGAAAAAAAAAATCAGACGTGGGTCTGAGGATTTATATAGCTTAAGATCAAGTCGTCTAGACGCATCTTACCGGGATTATGGAATCATTATCCATCATCAATAAGAATGGCACTAGTCCCAAGTAGGTATAGAGCCAGATGTAATCATGTGCCGGTGGCTTAGTTAGTCATCTTCACATAACGACTATCCATGGATATTTATACAGATTGGTATTTCCTTTAACTTATTAGTAAAGTATAGTATCTTAGTATAGAAACTAAAATAGAGGAATACAATAGAATATTATTCAAATAGTTATACTACCATTTAGCTCTCACCCGGTTCCCACTCTGTCTATTGTGTGCTCACATTTCTGACGCAAAACTCATCAATTGATTTCAAATGATTTGTACTCTATAATTCTTATGCAACAGTAACAAAATACATACGACCATAGGGTGTGGAAAATAGGGCTTCCCGTCCGCTCAGCCGTACTCAAGCCACACGCCGGTGAGTTAGTAGTTGGGTGGGTGACCACCAGCGAATCCTCACTGTTGTATGTTTTTTGTTTTCCCTCTAGGGAGAGAGAGTGGTATGTATGTATATGTAGGTAGGTAGGTAAGAAAAGAAGTCTTGAGACTATGCTGTGAGAACGGAGTGACAATTTGTCAGTATCCAACTTAGTAGACATATCTGATTTGACCGTGACAAAGCAATATAGCAGAAACACGTATCAGTATCCCTACGTTTCTCCAAGGCACACTTGCGAATCCTATTTTGGGGTTATCGACACTTTCAGGCAATTACACCATCTAAAATTACTATGATGGAATTTATGCAGTTATTTTATAAGGCCCGCTTCGATCATTCATCCTCGAGACAGCATCGGTGTCCATATCTCCTTCGGGTGCCGTGTATACTGAAGATATCGAATCCGAATCCGAGTCTGAGGGATCACCAACCGTATCCTGAGTACGTTCAGACGGCTCTTCGGGCATCGGAGTCGAAAAGTCACTTAATCGCCGAGGAAGAATTGCTCTAGGAACGCGACTCTCTTGACTATGATTATGTGACTGCACTGGCGTATTTCCAGCGGCAGAGCCTCCAGCACACGAGGCGCGAGACGATATCCCCGAAGATCTCTGGGGAATTTGAGAGGGAAAGACAGGGATTTGCCGAGGAATGAATGTGGCGGACACCGGTGGTTCTTCTCTGGCTGGAGGCCGACTAAGAATCCTCTTAGTAGGATCCTGTTCGAGTGGCCGTATAGGGGATACGCCACGAGAGTCATTGCGAACGGAAGCAATTTGCGCGTTTACTAGCGGTGGGATTTGCTCACCGGGTCGCATACGAATATGCGACAAGGTGTCGATGGGCTGTGGAGGTTCAGCCCGATAGCCACGCTCAGGAGTTGTTGAACGACTGCTAGGCAGACCATGCTCTAGAGTTGCAGGTAGCTCCTGAGGCAAAAAGCTTTCGCGGTCTCGTGAATTGGGGGACTGTGAATATTGAGCGGGATAATTCCCCTGATTCACATTCCGGGGCATACTTGGGGGATGACTTGGAGGCATCAGACCAGAGTCCACCAAAGCCTGGTTGAGAAGTTCTCTCACCCGAGCCTTGCAGTCCTCAGAGATAATGACATCTGGCGAGAACCCAATTGTCTCAGGCATGCGAATAATATCTGGGACATCCATGTCGGGTATCCTAGTGCGAACCAAGAGTGCCTGAAGAATATCCAGGTGGCCATGATATGCCGCATAGCGGAAAGGCTGCCAGCCGCCCTCGTCCTTTTTGGATGCCGATGCGCCGCGTTCTAGGAGCAGCGAGACAACGGGTAGGTGGCCTGCCATGGCAGCCAAACATAGAGGAGAGTCATTGCGTGACGTAGCTTGGTGCTTCTGATAGAGAGGAGATCCTCGATCCAGCAGCTTTTGTACTGCAGCCACATGTCCGCAGCGACATGCTACACTTAGCGGCCGATCTCCGATGCTGTCTCGGGCATCTAAAGAAGCTCCTTTGTCACAAAGTAGATCCAGAAGGTGTATGGAGCTTCGCGCTGCTGCGATATGCAAAGGTCTTTGCTGGTGTTGATATTCCGGTGCTTCAATGTCAGCGCCTTCTAAGAGTAACAGCGTCGCTATCTCGATACTGTCTGCCATACAGGCATAGTGAAGCGGAGTAAGACCTGTTGCACATTGGCTGTTGAGGTCGGCACCCTTGCGTAGTAATGGCTCAACGACAGCAAATTGGGTCCGAATAACGGACAAGTGCAAAGCCGTTCGTCCCATTGCATTAACCTTAGCCAGGGATCCTTTCTTCTGACTGAGAATTTCCACAGTCTCTTCGTGGCCATTATAGGCAGCCCAATGCAGGGCAGTCATGCCGGTGTCATCCATACCATTTAACGAAGCCTTTGGTTTGGATTTTATTAGGAATTCGACAGCCTGTGACCGGCCTGCTTCGGCAGCACATATCAATGGTGTCTTGCGATCACGACCGGCAGCTTCTATATTAGCTTTGTGAGCCAGAAGCACTGCAATGGTTTCGACATGGCCTGCTTCGCATGCATAGTGCAATGCCGACATCATGGTAGCGTCCTTGGCCTCGATATCAGCGCCGTTTGACACAAGCATGTACACAATTTCCGCATCACCCTGCCTTGCTGCAGTGTGCAAAGTAGTCATTTGATTCTCAGCACGGGTGTTGACCTTTGCATTATGCGTAAGCAGCATTTGTAGGGCATCGTGCTGGCTTCGGTCAACAGCAATTCGTAGTGCTGTACGGCCTTGATAGTTTGGAACTTCAGCAATGTTGCTCTCCTCCATGAGTAAGCTTATGACACCGCAATGACCACGCGAAGCTGCAAGATGAAGTGCGGTCCAGCCAGCCCCATCGGTCACATCTAGTCGAGCATGATGTCGAATCAAAAGCTCAACAACGTCATCTTTTCCGCAGTGCGCAGCAACAAGCAATGCATTTCGACCTGATGCTTTATGTCGCTCTTCAATGTTAATGCGATATTCGATGAGCCGTGCTACCTCACCTTGAGAACCGGCTTGGGCGGCCTTCACAATCTGTGGAATAGAGGCAGCATCTGTGCCGGTCAAATCAATGCTGATATGGGGATTTTGCTCTCGTCTAGGCTTCACTCTTGTGAAAGGTGTGCCATTGCCTACTTTCGGTGGGCCCTTAGAGGACAAGGAGGCAAGATTTAGACGACTGGAGGTATTCAAGCCAAGTAGAGAAGATATCCTTTCACGGTTAGAGGCGGATCTCTCAGGTGTCTTCGATGTCTTAGTATCTGACTTGCTCCGGGGAATATTATGCAAGCCTCGACGCGGTGCATCTTGGTAAGATGTTGCCCTCCTGTGAGCTGGATGCACTGGCGCCGATGGACTAGTGGGCAAGAGAAGATGATGTTGGCGGGGTGGAGCAGCATCAACTGACGGCCTTGTAACGCTGCTATTGCGCGTAGGGGTATCTGCATAGCCTTCATCTGTGAATGCACTTTGGCCATTATTGCTGTCGGTCTGGCTAATAGAGGCCCCGATTGATGGTGCGAGTTGTTGGGGTGAACTGCGATATACAGGCGAATCTGCGAGAGCATGGTTGAAATCAAAAACTCGGTCACTGGCTGTGAAACTGCTCTTCTGGGACATGCTTGCCGCGCTAGATGCCTGACTCCGTGCGGATACTAGTGTTTCGGTGTCGTCGCGAACCCTGCGCATGATGCGACGAGTCGTTGCCTGTCTTAACAAGCGGACTTGTTCTTGTGATGTATGACTTAAAAGGGTTATAAGCTTCTGTATGGTTTCCAGACATGAGGGGATATTCTCACCACTGGCAGACTTGGAGTAATAGCTGCAATGCCATCACTTGCGCATGTAGTTTCTCCTGGTGTCCTTTCATGATATCTTCTTTCCAAATGGCTCTAATGCGTAATCTAAATCCAACTGTGCCGTCATAGCGACTGCCATGAACCAGACTCTTTACATCCTCAGACAGAACCTCCATGATAATTTGGCAGCCACCCATAGCTGTAACGAGCTGCTCATTGAATTCCTCTGATACCATCATATCGGAAGAACTGAGCTGATGCCATTCCTTCAGACTCGTGAGAGCTGCCTGGATACAGCTCAGCTCCTGAATAAGCGAATGGATTGTAAAATCAGCATCGCTGAACTTCCCATGTAGTTCATGCAGGCCATGAATAGTCGAAGTAAGTGCGCCTAGAATCTGAACAATTGCCGAAGCAAACCCGATCGCAGATATCGGGTCCATGGGGGACTTAAGACATGAAGGACCAAGACATTGCGGGGGCTGAGGGGAGCTGAGATGATTAGCGCCAAATCACATGGGGGGCTGATACACTGACACACATTGGGGAAAACAGCCACAGACGGGGACGGGAAATGGCGGCAAAATGGTCAGGTCCGCCTTTTAGGAGGGTTTTGATGCCTGGATACCTAAATTAGTATCGCCTTCTAGTTACACCGCCCTAATACAGTGTACTATAAATTGTTAATACATCAACCATGAAGCTTTTGAACTACATTCAAATTCAGGCTTCTTAACAGAACAGTCCTGCGGAGTTGCGATGTAGAGATGGAGAAACAACACGGTAGGACTCGTCTGAATATAGATGGACAGAGAGGAGAAAGAAAAGGGGAGAGAGAGAGAAGCTATCTACTACATAGGAGTGGATCTGTCTCATGTGGGGCTATATGCCTTAGGCACCTAGGCACCCAACATCCCCCTCACAGATCCTAATCCAGTCCATAAAACAATTGTCCTATCTGTTTCGTGCTGTAAAAACTCCAATTTTTGATAATATGATCCTAGTCACATCGATACCATTGGCCCCTAGTTCGGTAGACCGAAGTAAATGCCTCTCGTAGGCTATATTGCCAATCTTAGCTTTGGTCCTGGAGGCCCGCCCAGGTGCCCAGGTGCATCCCAGTGCTTGTTAATTATATTCTCTTCCTCAATTACCACTTTTTTCCCTTTATTGCTACACGTGCTTTGATACAATGAGCGCTAAAGAGCTTTTGGACAATGTTGAAAGCGGCATCGTGTCTGTGAATTGCCACGAGGATGTCTTACGGATCGCATTCATCTATCTAGATGAGGGACTGTGGAATGACAACGGGGTATTCGATGTGGTGGACAAGCTGCACGCGAATGGCTCCTTGGATTGTCTCTACGAGATGAACCCCGCCCTCAACACGAAGAAGGGTGAATGTCAGGGGCTGTTGGCTGAAGAAGCATACTGCATCGGAGCTACTTCCAACAAATGTAAATAATTAAATGTAGAGACAGTTGGTGACTTATTCTATTGCTGTATGAGTACGGAGCATAGAGTATTCGAGTTATGGGGCAACCCAACATCATGGGCTCAGCACATATTTAACCTAACCGTGTGAATGCTAGTCTAATGATGTATTCATAATAAAGATGAATTTTATGCCTTTTGCCTTCATGCAGTGTATGGCAGATCTTCCTTTGCTCATGGAGCGTTTGTTGCTAGATCTTTCTAGCCTTTATGTCTTTGATTTTTTTGTCCCATGAAGCTATATAGACGCAGCTTCATGGCAGCTAGTTAGATTCATTATCGTCATCTTTTATCTTTGATCCTGATCACATTCATCTTCTCCATTTTGTAGATCTGCATGCTCATATGCTACAGACTCCATCATCTTATCCTTCGGACTTTTTTATAGCGGTAGCAACCTCCCGGCTCAAGTTCTGCGCAAAGATTTCTTCGTCTTTCATAGAAACAAAAGAGGCATTGTGAGGGTCCTTCTGGGCCGCATTCCATAAGTCCTCCATCGGCCACTCGTCCGCGTGCCAGCGCCGGGCAACGTAGAAGTTATTGAGAAGTTGCTGAAGACGAACGCGAAGAAAGCCTTGGTACCCACTCGAGCCGTCCTGGCTTTTTGGCTCGTAGTCTGGGTCAACAGCCCAGATCCATGCACTATCTGGTCCGCGAGAATCCAAGACTGACGCCGCAGCGCTATGATCCAGATATAAGAAAACGTTGCGAAGAAGGCCTTCGGTAATTCCCTCCGGAATAGCGTCAATCTTGCCTTCAGCCATATCCATAAATAGATACGGTACTTGCTTCTTAGGAGGCTGAGATCGGAGATAGTTAAATTGCTTCCGTAATTGATTTAACGTCGATAAGAAAGACTCATCACTACCAATTCCAGATGGCAAATCAAGGCCCTCAAGGTACCACCGGGATCCGATCTTTATTCCAGAATTAATAGCGAGGTGCGCCCAATGGAATAAGTTAGATTGTTTTTGTTCATATAACTCCTGCCGTTCAGGATCCTCGAGCTTCCACTGAAAGCTTTGGAAAATTGTATAGCCCCATAGCTTTTTGCCCTCGTCTTCCTGCCACAGCTGGCGTAGCCAGGGGTGGCCATATTCGACAATCCGTGCCAGATCTGCTCTATCCTCGGCTTCTCTTCTGTTATCTTCCCGTCGGGAAATCTCCGCCTCTGCGTTTTTAAATGCATCCGCTTCGAATTCCGCGTAGAAAGAACTTCGGAATCTCTCAAGCCGCTCGAGTGTTTGAAAGAAGTATTCATTAGAAACTAGCCTTAAATTCTCGAAACAATCGAAACGGATATCTTCTTCCGGGAAGCTGATTTGTCCCCAATAACGGCTATGAAGTAATTCAACCTCAGACGAAGTAAGGGCTCTAGGCGATTGAGCAGCCTTTTTTAAAAGCTCTTCCTTACTAAGAGTCGTTGTAGCGGAAATGTTTGCCTCTTGGGTTGAGAAGTCAGGAAAGTCGAGAAACCGAACGCGATCCTCCGCACTGATAGCAGACGGGTTGCTTTCGAATTCTTGAAAAGTCGCGAGCAGCCTAGTAGCGTCATCGAGATTACGTATGACGCGGATAAAAGATGGGAATAGGTGCTCCATAGTTGGAAAGATAGAATTGTAGGAATGATGGAATTGGAGGAGATCGAGGGGTGGAAGTAAAGCTAAGAAGTGGGAAGAGTTCCCGTGGACACTGTACCAAAGGCCAGGGTTCAAATCAACCATTATAGATGGTTTGCTGCCTTACTGCCTGACTTTAGAACAGCAGAAAAATTAAAATACCTGAATTTCTATTGCAGATACCTTAGTAATCATACAGTGACTCCACAAAAGTGTTAACACCCTTCTGCTACCGCCTTCTCAATTAATCATACCGCCCTTTACCCCTTAGCTTTTATTAGTGGATATCCAGCTGGCAGAACCCGGGGTTTATTTGTATGGAGGTGAAAAGCTTCATTTTTGACAGCTGTAGTATCAATAAATTTACCATACACTGTAAAGCGCGGTGCGAAATAAGGCACCTAGGCATCAACAACCATCTATAATGGGGGATTTGAACCCTGGCCTCTATAAGTCTTGGTAGACACTGTAAGGGTGTTGGAACAGCCAATGACCACAACGAAATAATTGACTAAGCTAATTGACTTACCTAGTTACCGCCTTTTTCTCTAACTAACGTATTTCGCCACGGTAACCGTGCCAAGCGCCCAACACCAGGTCCCCTGGTGTTGGTGCGCCCCGGCAAACGCAAAATTCCCACCGAACGCAAAATCCAGAAAATTAAGTATCTTTTGTATGGCTTTCTAATACAAAAGGTACTTAATTTCTAGATTTATATAACATGCTTTTTCTCAGCACTCGAACTAGCTAAAGTAATAGAAAGTATACGAATATATAGTACGAGTCTAGCTTAATTAATTTAATGGTAGTATTAATTGTTAACATTTAATACGGAGGAAGAATAATTATTTAGAAATAGCATTATATAGAGTGTATAATGGTTAGATACCTAGATAATTTCTTTATTTTAGCATACTTAATATTCCTTATCGAAGTTTGTTTAACTAATATAGACCTCCTTCACACTATTTATATCTCCTTATATTTGCCCTAACTGGTTCGAGGGCCGAGAAAAAGTGTGTTATGCTAACGGGATACCTAAGTACCTTTTGTATTGGTAAGTTATATAAAAGATACTTATTTTCTAGATTTTGCGTTTGGTGGGAATTTTGTGTTTGCCGGGGCGCACCAACAACCGGGGACCGGTTGTTGGGCGCTTGGCACGGCTAGGTGTTTGAAGTTGAATATTAAGCTTTAATCACTCACAAGGGCAAGTTTCGTGGTCCCATTCCACCGAGAAGTACACCAATAGTCAATCAGTAGTGCGTGTCATCCTACAATCCGCCACTTCGTAATATTGGGTTGAAAAGAGGTATCATTTAAAAAATCAAATACTCATTAGTATATAGATTAGGAGTGACGGCGCTCGAATATATAAGTACCTAGTTGGCGTTTCATCACACAGGGCATTTCATCTCACCGGGATAAGGCGAAGCATTTGCACATTTGTGACGAAAGCGTTTCGAGAAGCAGCCTTTTATAACCAAAATAACATGCGTGAGAAAAAATCAGCGCGGGAGGGGAAGGACACGTCAGCGGTTCAGGGGCATGTAGGATATTTAGGTGTAGAATAGTGATGTTTAAGGCGTTCAGGTGAATGGGCTAAATAGGCTGAAGAGTAGGGCGGTAAGAGGATATTTCCTAATGAATCAAAAAAAGATGAGTGAACACCGACATACAACAGTGAGGATTCGCTGGTGGTCACCCACCCTACTAACTCACCGGCGTGTGGCTTATGTGCGGTCAATAGTTCGGTGGGTGCCGCCCGGGTGAGAAATGGGTGAGCGCCGCTTTACGGTCGCGCGACCGGGGGTGATAAGGGTGAGTGCGCTATGGACAGGGTGAGAAGCCAGGTGAGAAATCACCCAAGTCGCGCGACTAATGCATTGACCCCTTCAGCTGAACAAAAGCAAAATTTCATTGGACTGTCCTTGAAACGCTCGGCATCTTGGCATCTATACATACCTACAACTAGAAGCATTAAGTCTTACTAGCAATACTTGGATGTTTGCCAGCGCCTGATATCTGAAGAACCAAGTAACAATTCTCCACAGCTAGACTGAAAGTCCATTTCAATTTCAAATACACCAACTGGGGAGCCCCATGGCAGTACGGACTCGATGAAAAGCTCAATCGGGCCGGCTCGACCAATCTGGGAGGTACAGCTCAAACCCTTGATCTTTGCAACGGACGTTACGATATGGAGGAAGGAGTGATTTCCGAAGCAGGATGCGCGGCTAATCAAAGTGAGGACATCAATCTGTGAACTGAATTTCCTAGATTTCTTGGGCGATCTCCTTGAGCGCATTCTCATCAATGATTATGTCGCCCTCCCTAGGAGTTTCTGCAGGTCGGAGGAAAAAAAGGTGGAACGGAATGAGAAGTGGGCCAGCGGTTAGTGTGACTTCGTCACCTTCACTGCTTTCGATCATCACGATAGTTTGAACATTTTCGATCTCTGCCTTGGCAGTTTTATTGATAGTAATCTTGGGCTTCCTTCGGTCTGCTTTTATAGCTAGTCCGACCTTCGCGAGACCATCGATTAGGTCGAGCCACCGGCCAATATCACGAATCAACTTGGTGTGCGTCTCAGTAATTACTACTTTAACTACCACAGTTGGTCTTTTTAGGTCTTCGCGGGCTTCTAATTGGTGGTCTTTTTAGGCCCTACGCCCTATCTAGTTGCTTAGACCTGTTAGCCACAGTAAGCGTGGTATTACTGTAGAGATAGATGGATTTTTTGAGGCCTATTAGATCTAAGACCTCTAAAATAACTGTATAAAAAGCAAGAGATATCTGTTTATGTTCGTAAAATACTATTTTGATAGCTAGTGAATCAATGTTTTTATCGAATATAGTATAGATACTAAGTTTAGGTTCGACATTCGGATTTAGGAAGTTAGATCGTACGTAGACTATAACGTTCTAGAGTCCGTTGCAACCATATACACCGGACAATCCGCTTTGCTTATATTCTCGAAATAATAATAAACGAAACCTTTGACCAGGTCAGCTAATAAGCAGTACAGCACAAGAAATAGCACAATATACCCACCCATATATCCCAGTCCTTCCGCAACTCCTTTATTAGGCTACCTAATCCTCTTTCTCTAGGCCATAATAATACTTTAAATGGCTTCATCTTCCTCTCTATACGAACGGGCATAAAAGTATTATCCTAGTAACTGAATAGCCTATCCCTTGAATCAAATAGGTCTAAAGAACTATCTAGGCTCACAGTATATCTCTAACAGCCTTCTCTCTTCAGAACACTATTCAACTTCTATATTTATTCTATTCCTCAAAGAACTATCCGTTACCTCTTACTTACTTAATGACTTAGGCAGAAAGACAGTAAGAAAAGGATTTAATAACTACCTGATTGTTCTTAACAGGCTTAAGGTACAATATCTATTCAACTTAAGAAGCATTCAACAACAATAGAAGAACGTACAAGATTCAATTATTCCTATCGTCCTCATATATCAGTTGATGAAACTGCGGATGTTAAATCTTGTCCCTGATAGCGCAGAGTGCATTTATGGCTTTACCCAGATTCATCGCCGTAGAAGACCTATATTTATTTTATTTTGTTCCTTGAAGTTTCAAACATAACGTTAGAGATAGTTTAAGTGAAAGAAGAAAGGAAGGAAGGAAGAGAAGATAGAAAATCGTAAAGATCTGAAGAAAGAAAGGAGGAAAAGAGAAAGAAAGACAGAACAACGACTTAAGTGCTCTCCACACGTCCCTAATGTCTCGTCTTTTCTCCCTTCACTCTTCTCTCTCGTCGTTTCTCTCTCGTCTTTCCTCCATCGTCTTTTCTAAGCATCACCATCTCTGACTCGTGCCCTCTACATTTTCCGTCCTTCAAGTTCTTGAAAATTGTTTGCCGTTTCTCCCTGTTGTTGCTGAAGAACCACCATCTCTCAGCTCGCGTCATTTGTTGCGTCCTCTGAGGTTCGCGAACTTGTCTCGCCTTGTCTTCCGCGTCCTCACTGAGGATCGCTATTGAATTTCCCCCCTTCTGTCGATAACAGTAAGCTCCCTCGGCTTGTGATGCCCTCGACTTGGTTTACTGATTTTTGAATTAGAAATGGAGTCCGCCAACATCCCCGATTTCTTCCGCCGTTCTTTTGGGGCCGATTACCCCAAGGAGCTGCACGAACAAATCAAGAGAAACCGTCATTGCACGGTTTGCATCGGTGACAATAACGAATATATCCGTGCTACAATGAAAGTCCGCTTGGACTCCCAGCAACCATGGCTGGATGTTCAAATTGGCAAGGCACATGTCGTTTTCCCCGTCACGCGGACAGATATGAAGTTGGTCATCAAGGGTACCTCTCGCGAGTACGATGCCTTCATTCAATCACGCCAGAAGAACGCAACTGAGGACAAGAAAGATTACCAAGCGTGCTTTTTTGAGTTGAGCCCGCCTGCTATCCCTGTGTTCGCTGGCCCGTTCTGGGAATTGAACGAGGACCAATCCGCGCGATGGAGCAAGCTCCAGGCTGTTGAGTGGCCTGGCAAGAAGGTTTACATCTGGACTGCATTCCCTAACAACTGCTATGATGCATTCCGGAACATACAGACCCACATGGCAAAGCTAGTACAGCTTGTCCGCAAGAACGTCCGCACCGATGGTAAACCGCGATCATTCTGGTACGCCGAACAGAACCCCATTCCCGAAGGGCAAAGGGCGCCACGCAGGCCCAAGATGCCCTGGCTCTTCGATTCAGATGGCCGGTACCATGCCTGGGACACCCCTGTCAGCTTCTTCCTGGATGAGCAGGAATATCGCTCGCGACTGGTGGAAGCGGCAATCGTGGAACAACACGTTCAGTGGGCCACGTACGATAATGTTTTCCGTGAGGAGAAGCCTCACGACGTCATCCTCGAGCTTGCTGAGACAAAAACAAACTTCTGGAAGCTCCATATCTGGATGAATGCCGATCCGAAGCCAGCTCCACCCGAGGGCATCCGAGCGGCGTACAAGGTCGACGTCACAAATCCGATCAGCGAGAAAGGCCCAGAGCTGATTGCAGGTGACGGCCTTTGTATCAGCTCCACCCGGGCAGACTTCGCCATATTGACTCGAGCGCAGTTCGACCCTGCTTTGGACGGCCAGACCCGCAGAATCATGGCTACTGTGGCAGTCAATCTTAAATCGACCAGTCTTCAGATTGAGGCACTAGATATTGCGGGAAGAACGATCAGCTTTGGTGATTCCTCCGAGAGCGACGGCAATGGCTTCTCTCTCAAACGCACCATCCTCGCACAGGGGTCGGAGTTGAGCCCTAAAAGCCCTTTCTACTTTGAGCTAGATGCGAGGAGCGTTTCTGAACTCCCTCCCGATTTGCAGAATGAGCGAATTGAGTACATTCGAAAGAAGTTCGGGCTAGACAAGTCTCAATCTCGCGCGGTTCAGATGTCGGTTTTTAAGGTCGTCGGTGGAATCCACCTAGTGAAAGGCCCACCGGGCAACGGCAAAACGCGTACCACCTTAGTCATGTTGCTGATTCTTGCAAGCCTGGGGATGAAGGTTTTGATCAGCGCTGGGTCTAATCAGGCTGTGGACACCCTTTTGCTCGCATTTCATAGCGCTTTAAAAAGCGATGAAAGGCTTCAGGGGTGGTGCGGAATGTACTGCCGTTTCCAAACTCCCGCATACCAATTGGCCGTTCTTCGCCGTGCAAGTAAGGCTAAGCGGTTAGAGCAAAAGAAGGATCACAAGTCTTCCATTCAAGATGAACTCGCTGACTGCCAGATCGAGGCATTAGTGGTGAAAAAGGCCATGGACTTTTATTATGAACAGCCCGAGGCTAAGCAGCTTCTTGACCTGCTTGACCTAGATCGCGAAAAGGTTTTGAGCAAGGACGAGACAACCACACTACGAAGTTCTTACGAGAAGCTTGTGCGCCGGGTGGTCGGGAGATGTAAAGTCGTCGCCACTATATTAAACGCTTCTGGTGACGAAAACTTGAGATACGAGTTCAAGCCATATGCGTTGCTGTGTGATGAGGCTGGTCAGTGCCTAGAAGGGGACAGTATGATACCTATGACTAGCTATCTATCACTGCGTACCGTCATCCTGATCGGTGACCCTAACCAGCTTCCCCCTACGGTCGTCTCATTGAGGGAGAACGAAGGGGGCAATTTCTATGGCCGGTCTCTCATGTCTAGACTCTCGGAGTGCTACCCTCTTTCTCTCCTCGAAATTAACTATCGGTGCCACCCGGAGATCCTAGATTGGCCTGCGTCGGCAATTTATAAGGGCAAGATCACCGCTAGCGATCAGAGCACTAGGGCTGAGCGCGTAGGGAATGCATGGAATGCTTTTACAGCCTCCCTACACCACTTCACAGCCAAGGGACTTACTGGGAAGCGGCGGTTGGTGATTGATGCCGATGGAGTGGCCGAACAACCACAGGGTAGTACATCTTGGCGAAATGACGCCCACATCAGCGTCGCCATCGCTCTCCTCAAAGCATTGTACGCCGACAGATCCAGTGAAGATCGGATCTTCCCTGAGGATGTGACATTGATCTGTCCCTACAAGGAGCAGGTCAAACGAGTGATTGAGCGCTTCTCTGCGGAAGGTGTAAAGTACAACCGATGTTTGACGGTTGACGGCTCGCAGGGTCAGGAGTCAAACGTCGTTATCTTCATGTTCACCAAGCCCCGCACCAATTCCACGAATGAAGTCGGCTTTATGTTCAACTACCAGCGCTTGAATGTGGCCCTGACCCGGGCTAAAAAGCTCCTTGTTGTGATCGTGAACCTACGCATCTGGAACGCACGGTTTGTCTCGGCCACAAAAACAGGGAGTCATCGCTATCTGTCGAGCTTCCTGAAGGATGCGGTTGACAAAGGAGACGTCTTGGAATGGGTCGGGCGAGAAACTGTTGAAAGGCCCTCCGACTCCACCAAGCGACAGACAACGGCCACCGCATCCCGCGCAACCCCTCCACCCCAAAAGATGGCCACCGACTCTCGCCCAGCCCAACCACATGATGAGTTCAGTGGGCTCACCTTGAGGATGAAGGATTTGCAGCTGGAGAAGGCCCGCATAGCGGCCAAACAAGAGGCCCTGACTGAAAATTGGAAAGACATGAACGCAATGTTGGAGCGTGTCAACGCTCAACAGGATTCGCTGAAGGTCCGATGGGCCCAGTTAGAGGATGATGAGGCTGCTCTACAGGCGGCAATGGATCGGGCCTCCAAATAGGCGGCCTAGTTGATATTTCTCATGGCATTAAAAGTTTTCGATTTCCGTTGTATTCACTAGTGTTAAGTCTTAACATCATAAACTTAAACCTTCTTTTGGTCGCGGGATATACCGCCTCTCCACATTCTCAATACTTCTGTTTTTACAACCTCTCTTTCTTCTCTCCTTCAACCCATACCCAATTTATACCGATATTATACCGTCTTTTTACCATGTCTTCAGAACATCCAAAGGGAAGGTTTATGATGGGTATATTTTCGGTATATTTAGAGTATATCTTGATGTCCAGAGTCATCAAGTCTAAGTGTTTTGTCCTCATACTCTAGGAAGAATGTTATGTCCCAAGATCTGCTGGAGGGACCTGATTATCTCATCTGCGGCAATCCACAGAGCCTTGAGGGCCTTCTTTTCTTCAATAGACGATTGCAGCAGTTTTTTCAGTTCCTCCTGGGAAGATACTGCGCAATCTTGAGTCCCCCTCAGCATGTTTTGCAGCCTTTTTGGGTGAATCCTCCTCAACATTCTCTTCAACGCCCTCCTCGGCCTTCCTCTTCGTCCCATTTGACGTCTCTCGTAGCTCTGAGTTAAAGCTGCATCGCTCGTGTCATTCTCCGACGTGGCAGCTTGCACAATGCAAGTTTCCCGGAACGCGCATACAGCCGTCGAAGAACGCGCCTCCTACTTTACAATGATAGCAGCGCGCATTTCCCTCGAAGAGAGTCCCAGTTGCCTGCGCCAGCAGGGCTTCCACATTCGCCTTCTTTTGGCCGATGAAGTCTGAGAATGATGTGCCGCTCATCGGCCATTCTGCCCGCATTCTGGTTCGTTTCCTCACAGTGGGCTCGCGGAGGAGCTCCATCTCGGACATACTATTCAGCCATGTCCCTGGCCGAAGGATCGCCCTCTTGCTAAGCTTCCAGTTGGCTTTATGAGACTTCCCAGCCCAGTATCTCGGGGCAACATTCGTTCCGTGAATGCGTGGTGATTGCAGTGGCTCCTCGGCGTCTGTGCTCGATGGAGGGTTTGGTGGTTGTGGCGTAGGGGCTTCCATGCTGCTTTCACTGCTTGGTTCATAAAGCTGTTAGTCTGGAATTTCATTCTATTGTCTTGGAATGCTTTTGGAGCTCACCTGGATGGGATGGTTGTTGTGATATATTGAGGTCGAGTTCCAGAGGAGACGACCTGTAGAAAGTTGTTAATTCGGAATTCCAGAGGACTGGTGTCTTGAATGCTCTTCGACTGTATTTAAACGGCTATAATATATATTAGATGTTGACAATTGGACTTTGATAGAGTTCTAAGCATCTATTACTATACAAAAGTCCTAGACGGGTCTACGGGGGTGTATAATATGGTTAGTCATCGATATCCGTCCATATTGTTGTCAACATCTACCAGTTGTCCTATACAATGCAATACAGACAGATTTCTTAGGTATTTTGATTTAGTTATACTAGTCTAAATGAGATAGAATTCAGGTATTTTCAGGCATAACCCTACAAAATCAGGCATTTGACCTTTGGATAATCAAATTACTGCTGGCAATATTATCCAATAAGAGAGTTGTGTCCAGGTGGCATACTTAGTTGCCCGTAGCCCACGAGAGGTATTTACCCCTATCGAACTAGGGGCCAATGGTATTCAATGATCTTCTTATCATCAAAAATCGACAAAGAAAATTGGAGTTTTTACAGCACGAAACAGAAGGATCAATTGTTTTATGGAGTGGATTAGTCAGGATCTGTGAGGGGGATGTTGGGTGCCTACCTCGGTACCTAAGGCCCAGGGCCCCACTTGGGACAGATCCTCTTTGTGCAGTAGATAGTCTCTCTCTCTCTCCTTCTCTCCTTCTCCTCTTGGTCCAACTGCAAGCAGAGAATTCTACAGTGTTATTTCTCCAATCTCAACCACGTAGATTCTCTGTTAGTTGGAGGGGCGCCGAAGACCAAATCTGCCAGATAGGCTTCTACCAGTGCCACATAGGTGCTCACAATATCCACGAATGTTTGGTCGATTTGGGGGTTTGTAGCGCGCAGTCGAATTAATCGATCCCTTAGCGCTGGTAATGGGGCCCAGTCGATAAGACTCAGATACTAGTGCTGTAACTCTAGCATTGTTGGTTTATATTGTGTGTGTACCTTTGACAGCATTTTCTGGGTATGGGTAAAGTTGCCAAATGGTCAAATCAACGATGTGGTAGAATTTTGTTTTATACCAGGCCATGGCTGCTGGATGCAATAAAGTTCAAGTTTCAAGTGAGACCGGCCATACCAAACACGTAGATAATATAAAGCATCATAACATTCATACCAGTGAGCTGTGACTAAATCTGAGTGAACAATCAAAGGTTGGTCCGGTAGAGCATAGGACATCGGGGCTTTACTTCTTCTCACAAGTGATATACAACCTTCTCTTTCCAAGTCTATATCAAGTGCTGCGGCTCGCTGTTCCATCATTCGTGAGTTTATTTCATCTAGAAAGTGAAGAACAAGTATCTCTCAGCCCTGACGACCCATTCATCTTCATCCTGCGGGCTTTCAGCCGCGATATATTTAAAAAAAAGCCACCGACATGCCAGGTATGTTGCCCTAAGACACGGACAAAGAACAAGAGGCTAGTGAATCAAGACCATGGACTAACAAGTTTTAGATATAGCGATTCCAAGTGAACCACCGCGCAGAGGTAGTGGTGACCATTCAGCCAGAAATGATGCAGATGGTGAAACACTCGGCCATTTGAAAGCCCCAATCCTTGGTGGGGATCCAAACCAGAAGCCCGGATACTGGGCTCGGCGAGTCCTTCAGCGCCCCTGGGTAAGGGCCATCCGATATTATGCTATGCAAGGGGAGCTTCTGCATTTCCTGAAATCTCAATCCCCAGTTCGAGAGCCTGTACTTCGACAGACCAAGTCTTGGGATGGACCAAGGCTAGACCAGATGATCAGGGACAAGAAAGTCAACATTGAGGCTATTCATGCCCAAGTGGTCGGTAGGCATATGCCGGGAGATATGAGCTGCAGCCATTGCGCTAGGGGGGTTGGTCCTTTCCTAGCCTGCGTCCAGATCCCGAGTGAGTTTGGGGAGGCTGCTGAATGAGCCAACTGCCACTTCGGCGGCATAGCTACACGATGCAGCCTAGAACCAGAACCAGACTCTGCGACCAGCGTGCAAATGTGCTACACTCAAAACCAACCTGCCCGAATCCTCGACCAGCAGGAAACCAATACACCGGATAGCACACACTCATCCTCAACCACGGACCAGAGTCCAGCGGAGCCCCTACCTCAAAACGTCAGGTCGGAGGCCATTGAAACCCTGGAGCTTTGTCTTCTGGATATAGACACAGATATTGTGATGCTCCAGAGAATGATCAAGAACAAAGAGATCAACCGGAAAGGCATTTTGCAAACCCTAGAGGCGCTTAGGAAGGAGGAAAAGAACTCGGATGCGAATAGCAGAGATATGATATGAAGTATAGCTAAATACGCATAAATGGAAATCACTCATTTTTTCGTTCACGTTCTTCCTTCTCTTTAACCATCTTCTCACTCTGTCACAATTTAACAACAGCACCCATCTTTTTCTCTCGTTCTAGCCTACAATCAATTCCTACTCTCATTAAACCAATTGAGCCAATGGCCAAGTAAGTCTCCATGGCTTCTATCGTGGCTGAATTGTGCTGACCTCATTAGTCGTCTCCCCGAGCCTGCTTCGGCAGACAAGGGTATCCCAGTCCTCATCCCCCCCATCCATATTGGAAGCCGAATAGAGCCTCCAGGGCTCTGGGCTCAGAGAATTCGTGAGCTTCCATACCGACGTTCTCGCCGGGGATCGACCCCTACCCTCCGATACCTTATCCAGCTCCCACCACATCGGGAGCCATCCTGGCGTTCACACCGTCATTGGACCAATTCTACCGAGGACGGTATGATATCAGATCGCACTGAAAACATCGAGGCCGCTCTCATGCAGGTAGTTGGGACTGTGATGGAGGTTCAGTGTGTGCCATGTCAAGAAGGGTGCGGGCCGTTCACACATTGTGTGACCGTCGTAGGAGCGGAGGAAGTGACTTGCTGCGCCAATTGCCACTTTCGATCCCAGGATACTCGTTGTCGATGGCCAAGTCCGACCCCACCGCCCATTTCCCAGCCCGCTTCTTCGAATCGACGAGTTCCCTTAAGCCCTATCGACAACCGACAAGCGCAGGCCGGTGCCCAATCCACGGGTCAGGCCGGTGCCCCAGCCCTGCCACAAGTCTTCACTCGTCTAGATTTGATACCGATACAACAAAACATTACTCAGGCCGCAAGGCTGAGAGAGCAGGTAGAGCGAGCACGTCAGCGTGTTCAACAATCGCATGAGTCGGTCGAGACCTATCTACAAACAGCAATCGACACCATGAACATTCTACAGGACTACATCACCCAAGCCCAGGGGACAGATAGGACCCGATCAACTGCAGTACTAAGCACTCTACCCGGATACATCAACTTAACAATGCAGAATCTGACCGCAGCCCACCGTCACCAGAGTGCCCTTTCGCAAACCCTTAGCGCGCTGAATATAGCCCAAGCTCGTCTAGACCAAGCTCAGATTGAGGTGATCAATGCTCTTCTGGCGCTCCTAGGCGATCTCGTTACACGCCCCGATACACCTGTCTAAGCAAAGAGGACTACTACTTAAGAGGAGGATTCGGATTTTTTTTCGATACATTCATTCTGTTTTCCCACCGTCACCAGAGCGCCCTTTCACAACCCCTCGGCGTGCTGAATTAAACCCACATTCGCCTGGACCAAGCTCAGATTGCGGCAGTCAATGCTGTTCTGGCACTCCTAGGCGATTTCGATACACGCCCCGATGCACCTCTTTAAGTAAAGAGGACTACTACTTGAGAGGATTCATTTTATTCTTCGTGCCTTCATTCTGTTTTCATACCGCTTCCGTCGGAGGGGTTCTTCCTCCCAACTTGTATTTGTAACTTTCTTCCAATTTACCCGCTTAATTGAGTTTTCCATCGCATAGAGTGAAAATTTCATCTCCTTAGCATCCATTAGAGTCTACTAGAGGAGTCGCGGCTAAGGAGAGGCGGGTCAGATTCCGACACTACTCATCTTCGTTCACTTAAGAGGCCTCGGTACAACCGTGGTCTGACTATGATTTGTCCATGGATCAATCATATCCGCATGCCCTCCGAAGTCCTTGAGCTCACGATCGTACTACGGTTTGACTACTGTTTGACTATGGGAACCTTGTCTCTGGGCGCAGATTGCCTGTAATTAGTCTGTGTTAACCATAGTCTGACCATGAACCACTTCAAACAAGGAAATTTCCGAAAATAAACCTATTGGTCCAGCCTTATAGAAAGATCAATCCGCTTAGAGAATCTCTAGGAGAATGACTTACGAGCAGCGCCTAACCCCCAGCAACCAGCACATCGAAAAATGCACCTTAGGCAAAAGACTCATGACTCACAGGAAAAGAGAAAAGCGGAAAACGGAAGAAAAGAAAAGAAAAACAGAAGGAAACCGCGAGAAGCTCCACCCGAAGATGCGCGACCATTTGCGAAAATAGCTAAGGTTCCTTGTTCACACGAGGCCCCAGCCCTCAGCAACCAGATCATCAAGAACAGCACTAGTAGCAAAAGAGCCATCACTTAAATGGAAAAAGCCAGCAACACCGCCTGACTCAATATCAACGATCGGGGCACCACGCACACCATCTGAGACAAAGCCTTCAATATTTCCGAAAACCAAATCGACCAATCTGGTATCCCATTTTGAAAATGGAATCTCGGGATGGCCGACTGGACGGATTGGTCGTAATTCAATAATCCCAGTGTTCATCATGCTGAAAAGCCCGGAACTCATACCATCAATTTCGCTCCATGAGCCTTGTTCGATGTAGGCGCTTTCTAAAAGGCGAGTGGGTGGTTTAGCCTGGAAGTAGCAGGTGTTGGTGAAGCTAAAAGAGGCCGCGGGTGTAAGTTTGACGAGAGCTACGTCGAGCTCAGGTCTGGTATCGACCACCTGGCCGATCAGGTCCCCCCCGTTAACCTGGGGGTGGTAGATATCTTCCGAGGACAGAAACCTATGGTTAGCCACGGTCAGCCTTTCTTCTCCTCCGTTATTGCGAATTTTGACCCCACATGTGGTTGCGGCGGTGGTTGGTTGCGATCCTGGGCTTGGTACCTCAAATCCACTTTCGACCCTACATCCTGGCGTTAGAGCCGATCGTCTGAGGTAGTTTGCGGTATCATGTACTGCAGGACTAAGGGAGGATGCCTTGGATGGCTGAATGATCCGAGGGCGGGTAAGACTCCGTATGGTTTTGAAGAAGGGGATATCCTGGTGGTGATAGAGTGCTGTTCTGCCTCCCACGGTACCGGGTAGTGAGAGTTCTGGGTAGCTACGGCCATCTCCTGTCTCAAGCTCGAAGATTGTCCAGAACGGAAGAAAAATAGCAGCCCGTACGTTAGCAAGTTGCGAAATAGCCTCAAGAATAGCTGTTCTCTGACTTTTGGTCGGGTTGACCATTCGCGGCCAGCGAACCCCCGGACACGGATTGGGAAGACGAGGGTTAGGATACGGAGCGGAAGGGATAGGTTCTTCGAACGGGCCTCCAGGAGGTACGAACAGAACTGGCATCGCTCCAAGTGTGAATGGGATTGGCTGTGGTGGAGAAGCGGTCTCGATGCGCATCAGCCATCCATTGTGGCTCAATGTTCCATCCCCGAACTTTCTCCGGATCCAGGCGGACTGCTCACGTGTAGGATAGTGGAACTTGCGGTTGACTTCGTCCCAGAGCGTAAAAGGCGCCGAGTCGTTTATGTGTCTTGCTCCCCAGGCACCGGGACTTTCCCAGCGTTTCGGCTCGGGGTAAGAGTGAGGGAGAGTTTGCCGTAAATGTTGGGTGTTTTCTCGGGTTCGAAGCGGAGAAATAGGAGCGTTTGTGTGAATGTCAAGGTAAGGAGAGTTTTGTTGTAGGTTGCTGATTTGTGGGGAAAGGCGGATTGGTGACGGCATTGGTGATAACATGATGTCGAGTTGTGAAGAGCACTTGAGGCAGAAAGGAATATCAACTCTGAATCTTTTTATTGAAGAGTGAAAGGGAAGACTGGACAGAGGGCTGGACAGTGGACTGGGGAGCAGATGGAGAGCAGAGTCAGAGAAGCGTCAAGACTAAACCTTGGAAGATATATGCTTCCATGGCTTCAGCCCGATCTATACTGAGGGGAGGAATGGGAGAAAATTGCCGGGAAGAAGTGACCGCCCTGAATCACCGCCATAGCCGGACGGGGTAGACCCCTTTCCCGTTTTACTTTGTATTCTTAAGAAAAACCACCATTCTGCAGTCCATATCCTCCATCAGTAGGAAGCAATTATCCATCTGGATTCATCGATCCACATCCGCTAAAGTTAGCGTGGTCGTTCTTGATCCTCGGGGATCGCTAGTGGAGTCTATCGGAGGGTATCGGAGGCCTATAGGAGGTAGTAAGGGTCGGATTCCGGTCCGACAGATCTTTGGTGGTTCTAGAGGGGGATCTCTGACGCTGACAGAGAAGATTCCTTTTATCGATAAAGAAGCTAATAGCGTGACTTACGTAGATAGTCGAAGAGTCATTATTATTTCTATCGAGTCTATCGAAATCATTAGACTCGAGAACTATCTAGCGGCTAGTAGCCGAGTACGGTATACGCTCGGATAGCGCTTACCTCGCCGATAAACTACTAACTCACCGGCGTGTGGCTTAAGTACTGCTGAGCGGACGGGAAGCCCTGTTTTCCACACCCTATGGTCGTATGTATTAGGTTCCGAGTGGAAGAGCATTATGGAATGTACGACATATGACGATAGGAAGGATGAGTGCGCTATAGACAGAGTGAGAACTGGTGAGAAATGGGTGAGTGCCGTTTTACGGGACACGACCAGATACAGTTGGTCAAGAGGATCCAGCGCATTCTCATCAACATCATGTTCAATAAAAGATCTTTGATATTACTGGGGTGAAATGCCTACTTTGGCCTGGCAATTCACTTGATTTAAATATGATAGAACCGACGTGGCTTTGGTTAAAGAGATGTACTATAAAAAAGGGTGCCCCAAAATCAAGAAGGCTATCAGAGCTTCGGGGCAAGCGCACGATGAATCACCCCAGGAAAAGATCTAAGCTTGGATTGAGAGGATAACCTTCCATATTGAGGGGATTATTGCTTTCGAAGATGGAAATGACTATGTAGAGGGTAGGGGTTAGTATAGGTTATAATAGAAGTTATCACGACTCGCTAAGTTCTGACTTGTGACGGCAGTTCTCCGCCATGCCCGTTGATGCTATCACTGGCCGCAAGTAACGTCTCAGGATTCACAAAGAAATCGACGGTCATGGCTATGGTGCTTTTGGCATTCTGTGCGGGAAATCTAGCCTCCCCACAATTTTTCATCGCGGCGGAAGTACCCGACTATCACGTACAGTCATGTGGTGGCGTATAGAACAAACGGAATCAATCGCTAATTACATCCTATTTAGACGGCGTATACCACCATTTTTGCTTGCTATTTCACTATTTATTGCTCTAGCCGTTTGGGAGAACAGTCACCGTGTTAAAGGGCAAGGTGTCAAGATTGACGTCGAGGAATCCGACAGGTCAACCTTCATTCTGATGACAATTTGCTCCAGGTGGATTAAACTGATAAGTAGAATAGATCTTCAGATACGTTCTATAAGATGGAAACTGCTTACATTCTCGAGAGGGTTTCATAGGTCCTCACTTCTACATATTTCAATTTGCTTGTCCGTTGTGAATTGACAATCATATCATATTTCGATTTTTTCTCATCAAGTTAATAAATGGCAATTGTGAGCAAGTGGGATTAATGAAAAGCGACAAACAAGCTGATCACATCGCGACATGGTAAGATACAAACATGTCTCATTTGTGTCGTTTGGCAGCAACATCGCTCAATATAGGGGCTGAGAATCCTAAATGATTTATTCTCCATCGCCATCCTAATCAGAACTCCCACTCACTACTGTCTAGAGCCCAATCCATCTTGTCAGAGGGGTTTGCTAGGCAGTACAGAACGTAACGTGTGTCAGACCATGTCTTTGGGGGGAGGGGAACCCAGCCGCGCTGAAACCGCAGATGTGGCTAGGGAACAACAGAAATTAGCACGAACCCTTTAGTGCCACTGTGGGAATGAAAAAAATCACTCACATTGACCCAGATACCTGATCATAGATCAGGTTTGTTGTCGTAGGTGGGGTCGGCTCGATTCCACATGGCAGAAACTGTCTTCTCGATAAGTTAGCTCTAATATATCACTGAAAGTGGAGTGAAAACAAACTCGTTAACTCGGCGAAACTCTCGACGAATGGTATCGCGAGCGTCACGGTCTAGGCTCCAGAAATACTCATCCGAAAGAGACTCTCCAGGCACCTTATCCCATACAATACAGACAGAAAAGCCCCCCGGAACGGCCTCGTCGTTATCTTGTTGTGCCTCTTTATAGCCTAGGAGGGCGGGAGTGACACCACATGCCATGGACTTCAGCTTTTGAAATGCCTTTAATTCAGTGGGCATATACTTCGGAACAGCTTGCAGTGCTCTGATTTCGGGTTTGCTATACTCCGTCCCGATAGTCGGAATCTGACGATGAATTCTCATAAACGCAGGCTTTTGAGTCACGTCGTCCTTCCGGTAGCAAAGGAACTTTGCCATGGTTGAAACGGGACCATGACGCGCAACTTCCTTCTGGCTCATCAGAAGGGCTGACTCCTCGAGATGTTGGGTGATGATCCATGTTTGAGCAGGCAACGAGAAGTATGGATCGGCATCTGTTGTGATCTCACTGCCTTCCAGGCTAGCCAGAAACGGGGTTGTGACCTGGTGCATGACGGGCTGATGGACCTTCGCGAAACGGAGCGAAATGTTGATGAGATGTAGGTGCTGGAGTGGAATTGGAGAGAGTTTGAGGAATAAAAGAAATGACGAGTGACCACGGGACCGAGGTGGAAGCCTTAGGCTTCACGCCTTATTCTATGGCCTTTCTTCTGTTTACATTTTCCTCTTCCTCTTTTTTCTTCTCTTCTCTTCTTTTTTTTTCTCTGTAAGTTTTTTGTTTCAATTGATTGTTTCAATAAAAAGCCAGTGAGTTGCATTGCGATTGTAAATTAATGCATTATTTCGGGGATACTATGTGTATACTGACGTCTGCCTATAGAATAAAATGCCACGAATCACAGCAAAGCCAGCGACCCGATCGCATGTTCCTCCGTTGAAAGTGGGAATCGCGACAACTTCAAACGCACTCCACAGGCTACGTTACTCTGGCCCATTGACCCGTTGGATGAACTTCGTGCAAGACGTGGAGAACAACGACAAAGCGCAAGTTTGGCTTAAACAAACGATAAGGCTCGAACAAAAGAACAATGCCTTCCAAGATGAGATATACCGATATAGGCAAAGATGGTAAACAGTATAAGAGTTAGCTGAAATAAGAATATTTTCAAGGATATACCGCGCTGTTATTGAAATGAACTCGCTACACAACGCTGAACTAGGTAATGTTGGATGTCCGAGGCCACCAATGGGTGACAGGACAAGATAATCAGCTAGCTCACTCTTTCTCTTCCCCCGCCTCATCTCCCCGAGGGCTTCGCTCGGAGTGCAACTCAGTATTTTTCCTTGGGCATTACTCCTTGCGTAGCCTTTTATCAGGTACACAAACTTCTCACCACCTGGACTGGTAAGCCTCTTACACAGTAGGCCATCCGGTGGAGAAGTCAAGGGCGTTCCATCCAAACTGTTTCTTGTCGTCGGCGTAGCCGATGTTCGTATCAATGTAGTGGTAGTAAAGCACAGGGCCAAGTCTCGGGTCCTGGTAGACACCCCTATGACGGTTAGTGGATATAATCCGAAGTAGAGAGATTGACGCCACTTACTGTCCGCCAGGTCCATAGACGTTGTCATGGCTTTCCAGGACGATGGTACCACCGCCCTCGGTGCATGCAACACCGTCCGCATCAATCTGCGTCATTAGCAACTCGTCTTACAGATTGCATAACTGGAAGAGAAAAAGGAGAACTCACAAAGGGTCCAGTCGGGTTCTTCGACCGACAGACTTTGATCTTGTACTCTTGTCCTGGTGCGGGCATACCCTGATCATACTTGCAGCAGCTTCCCCACGAGTAAAACAGGTAGTAAGTATCCCCGTATTTGAACAGGTAAGATCCCTCAACTGCATGAGTACCAGCCGGCTCAAACGCGACATTAGCCGGTGCCGATACTGCAGACGTGGCGTCCCCATTAAGTTTCACTTGGAAAATGTCCTGCCAGAATGATCCAAAGACCATGTAGTTGTTGGGGCCATCCACCAGGAGGTTGGCATCGATCGCGTTGTACTGGTCACCCTCTCTGGATTCAATTCCAATTGAGCCCCTGTCAGTCCAAGTGCCCTCTTGCATGCTTTCCGAGGTCGCAAGGCCAATGGCAGAGATCTGAGTTTCGAAGGTCGATACCGAGTAGTAGGCGTGGTAAAGGTTGCCCACCTTTTGTATATCGGGAGCCTAAAGAGTTGTTAGTGGTCTAATACTAAATAGAGGGCGAGGGAAGATTAAATGATGGTGGTGCATTCCAACTTGGCTCACAGGATGCGAAGCTAAGTGAAAGAAAGAAATACGTACCCAAGGATCATTCCTTCCGGTATTGTCAATCGAGGATCCGCGAGGCAACACAGCTCCGCGACCTACCCAGGGACCCTCAATGGATGAAGAAGAAGCATAGGAAAGGCCACCGCCCGTGGAGAAGCGATAGTACGTTCCGTCTCCGTCCTGGATCATAGCAGGATCATGGACGATGCAAGCACCCGAGCAAGCTCCGGGATTCGCATAACCATAAACGGCCGCAGCCTGAAGCAAGGCAAATGCAAGGGAAGATTGGAGATGCATGTTTAACACAAATAGATGGAAGTGCGACTTGAATAACAGACTTCCTGCGAGATAGATGTATTATATATAGGGGAGACCCAGGTTTCCGCATCTACCTCCCTCCCGTAACAAGTCTGCGAATGTGGCTCTGCCAAGAATAGACTAATTAGAGCAGGGCGTGTTGCATAACGTATTTCACATACGAGTGGATCACACAAGCGAGTGGATCAGTAAATCCAACCTACTAATTTCAAATGCATTTATCTCAACCAAAACGCCATTAAATTAAAATTAAAAAAATCATCAGCTATCTGGGCATGTCTCTCTTCTATGCCCTGGCATTCTGCATATCCCACAACCCCGGGGGGCCGGGTTCGTGGTTGAATATCTGGTTCTCCAGGTATGCCGGGGCCCGGGGGAGGTGCTTCAGTTGCTTCCTGTTGCTGTATAATTAATGCAGATGCTTCTTGAACTGAGAAGCCTTCTTCAGCAGGTATCTGCCTTCGGGGTCGAGTACGCTTTTGCTTCTGCTTCTCATTGGCGGAGCGTAATTCCTTATTTTCTTTGGCGAGTAAGATAGGTGTGTATGCTCCGCCCAGTCTACATGAAAGACATCTTTTACTCCGCCGGAGACCAACAACAAGTCAGCCATCAGGATCCTATATTAGTATGTCTCACGTACTCTCCACTGGAAAGTTCCCAAATGAGAGTTTAGCCGATATGGTCAACCTAAATGAAAAATGGGGGGGGGTGGTAAATGCATCATGTCCTATCGACTGTTTGGCACGTGGCCCCACTCGTCCAGGGGTTTCGCTCATCCCGGCAATCGGATATGTACTCTGGTACATAGTGGGGAACCTTGATAATCCTCTTCGCTCTGAGAAATTACCCGAGTGGGTTCGTCAAGCGGACAACTCGGGATCTGATTTCCTTAGCGTCAGGCCTAATTTTCTCGCTCATCAGACTAGTTCCACCAATGGTAGAGATAATTAGACCGTCGAGGATCCGGAGATACAGTCGGGGGCGGGCGCCACAATTGAATCTATCGAGCTAAGAACTATTCGGTAATCCAACTCCAACCCAGTTGACAATAACAGGCCAGCCATTTCGGGAGAGCGTCTTGTCCTATGTGGGATACGCATCAACTCCTTCATCCCTTGCACTAGAATCTCAAACGCACGTGCTTACGTAGGGCGGCTCGACATAAACCTTGGAAGTCATGCCGGCGGTGAAAGAAGCTATAGCTATTGTGGTTCTTTCTATAATTAACTGGAACTGTAGCCGGTGGATACAAAGTAAAGCGGGTACTCAGCCTTGTGGGACCAGCACGTCGGGAGCAACAGTGGCTGAAACCAGATATAACCCTGCCAAGAATTTCCTGGGGCTGTCCTTCCTTATAAGGCGATTTCCCGTTCAACTTAATCAACTCCAAAGTACGAGCAATTCCGTGCAATCTCCTCGGTATTTTAACTTGAGTAGACGATGTGACTGAAGCTACTGGCACATGAAACATGGCGAGGAACGACGCGGCCAAGGCGGAATAAGGTAGTAATTGGACGGCTCGTAATTTTGTCAAAATTACTAACTGATGAGCAGACTACCGATGGTAGTGTCTAGGTCCTTAGGAAGTAGAGAGGGAGAGAGTTGATTGCTATGGAGAGAGAGAAACTGCTAGATAAATTCCGAGGGATAGCAAACTGAAGCCACGGGGATTGTCTTTATCAGACTACCCGAGACAGTTTCGTTGAGTGAACGCCATTCTGAGTCTGAAGGCCAGCATGGCATGTCAGGGGCCTGGATCTGGTTAGACAGAGTATCGAACGGAAACATGGATAGTACGAACACATTTGCAGCCATCTTTTGCGGAAAGTCCAGAGCGAACTAGAAATACTAGAGCAAGACCTACGAACGTCTTCATGGTGCAAAGAAACACAATTGAACGTTTATAGGCTTTGCATCTTGAGAAAGGAGCTCGGTAGCTAAGCAGCCTTATATAGGAAGTCGGGAATCTGTCAGCCTGAGAAAAGACATTGACACTACATCATATGCACCACGAGGTCTGTTTGTTCCTTATAATAGCGTACGAAGTAATGGCCATTTTTGGTCATTTTGGTGGAATCGTATACCAAATACCAAACCCGCCTGTACGACAACTTGGGGCCCACTTAATCCACTTACGGAACCTTAGTCATCACGATTTAAATGCCATATTGGGTAATTCAGTCGTATTCGTGTATATTCGTATTCAACGAACCGTCTTGGTCCGTGAAGCACTGCCAATCTTACTCCGTACTTGCTCCTTCTTCTCCTTGTCCCCCGAAAATAGTTGACATACTGTCGAATGCATTGCTGACCTTTCTTCGAAGTACTCCTTAGTTAGCTCAAACTTGAGTGGTACTGTACTGTCGATGACAAGCTTTTGAATCCTGTCCACTGGGCTCTATCTAAATTCGAGTCCGAGATGACTTAGTATAACTATAAGAGAGAGCTTGACTATACATAGTTCAATTACTATAGGCATAGGAACATTGGTCGACTTTCGGTCTTCTGAATTACCGCCACCCCGACTATGAAGTTGCATGGCGGCTAAAGGTCTAGATAGTTATCTAGTTTTATAAATATACATCTGTTAAGACTAGTTAGCTATATTTTAGACCGTCTGTTCCATTCTCAAAGCTCGCAGTAAATGTCTATCTCCACAATAACACTAACAGCCTGTACGACTCATGTTCTAAGGAAGCCCAGTTGCTGATCCATCACGCTCCGCACGATCTCCTCCCAAGGTTGCCAGTGGATTTCAAGTTCATTTTCGGCCTTGGTGGTATCGACTGGCAGGGAACCCCCTTCAGCCTGCTCCGTAATCTTCGCACCAACATTGGGGTAGGCCGTGTGCACAATACGAGCAACTTCTTTCCACGTTGTTGGCGGCCCGGAGATCAGATATTTCGAGCCGTCCTTGATCTTCGGGTCTAACGCTTTGATATGGGCTTGAGCGACATCCTGAATGTGCACACCTGTGGTCCCCGTAATTGGAACACCTCCCATCACGCTACCCCAGACAATACCATTAGACCCTGTTTTGACTTCCTCAGCGCAGCTTTGTACGAGATTGTGCCCGAAGACAAACGACGGATGAAGGGTCACCAGCGAGTACTGCGGCTTTTCTGTCTTCCAGAAGTTCCATGTCGCGTTGTTTGCAAGTAATTTGGACGCTCGGTACAAGGTCATCGGTGCCGCGACAAGACTATGAGGATCGACAAAATCTGCAGTTGGGTCCACAGTGAGATCCCAGTCATTATCCTCTGAGGCTGATGTTAGCATATTTCCGAACTTCACAACTGTAGCATTCTGCCACCATGTGTATTGAATCTACCTTTGACGACACCGCCACTGGGCAACCCCGCAAGAGGAACCAAGGAAGCGATAGATGACGTTACCACGACCTTCTTTATGCTTGGCACCTTAGCTGCCTCTTTGAGAACAGCCAAGGTTCCTTTCACTGCGGGGCCAAAGAAAGATTCTTTGTCTGTGCCGTGAGCAAGAGGTGATGCTAAATGGAGGATATAGTCCACCCCGTCAAGCTTGCCTCTAAAAGCAGCCTCCTCGGTGAGATCTGGGATGGTGACGAATTCCAGTTGTTCACTATAGTCTGATAGTATCGATTCGAGCTTGTCTGATTTCTTGCGGATGCCAATTCGAAGTCGATATCCGGCCTTGAGAGCTTCGACAGCCGTGGCGCTACCAATAAAACCTGTAGCGCCGGTTATGAAAATTAAGGGAGCAGACATGATAATGCTAGTTAAGGGTAACTAGTTAGTCGTTCAACTAGGAAATGATAGAAATTTTATAGCATAAGGGTGAATTTATTATTTATTATTGTCCCCCTTCATAGGGATGAAGAATCCGGTACGATGATAATAGTGAAATCCGCGTTCGGCTTTACATTACTCCGTACAGCGACTTGAACGGGTTGATTAGTCAACGGAGCCTCATTTTATATTGTCGAACCAAGGCTCTTCGTAGTTGAACCTTGGAAGCTTTCGAAGATTACTATATCAACCTTGGCAAATCAGATAGGAATCGATCACTAATCTATCCATGAATGGATCCATTGTCCTCGCATAATATAAACTAATTCGACTTAGTTATCAAAAGCATTGAAAATTTATCTGTGGGTCTTGTTGATTATTTTTTCAGGAACGGCATAAGTATATATAACCTGGTATGAAATAGTCTGTTGGATTCAAGAGGTACTCCAATTACGGACCCTAGGTCCACCACCCATATACAACATACCACCCAAACGCAATTGTATCTTTTACTAGGTAGACCATCAAAACAAGGCTGGAATTCCAATGTGATACTTCCCCAGGCTAAAAATGGCATTTCTATCTGGATGGATACAATCTATCGCGCTGATATATAGGAGGTTATCCACAACGTCAAAGAAACCAAAAATGGATAGGGTTTTGCCGAATAGACAGTGTTTTTCATAATGTAGTGTGTGTTAAGGGAGTTAATACAAAAGCCCCTGAAGGTTCAAATGTTTATAAGGAACAGTAAGGATTATATTAGCTGTAATATTTACTTTCTTCCAAGGCAGAAATTTATTGTTTCTTGATTTACTCCGTACACTATCAGCTAATCTCATTTTGTTTAATTTTTGTAAAACACTTCAGCCTTTTCATGATCAGTCCAATTAATCCAGGAGGATTTTCCTACCAACTTCCAAGTCGATGATTTCCTTCTGCAGCTGTAGTCGTCTCCGTTTTGTGTTGCCTTCCTCCCCGGCAATCTCCTCCAGAAACTTGTCCGAGAGACTATTGACCCACGATGGCGAGAACAAATTCATGGGAGCTTCCGTACCGGTCACGAGGAAATGGTCTGCTCCTTACATGCAAATATTGTCGACAAATCTTTTCCGGGCCACTTTGTAGTACGACTATAAAATGTCATGAAGGTCTTGTACAGTATGCTCGGCATTACTTATATTGTCATAGTATGAGAGATCGCTGATACGAATAATCTCTCTATGCGAACAATTACTTAGGCTCTTTGGTGCTAGCGCTTTTTTGAATCTTTCTTGTCGGCATTTTTGGAGGTTATCGTTTAAGTAATGGTTCAAAGTCATCGGCGTCCCTCCACGTTCGACCTTCAACAGAAATTCGATATGTGAAATAGCTTGTCTATATTTGCTAGTTAATTCATCCTATAAGAGAGTAAGGATGTTGGTCGATATCCTAGTATTACTGTAGGCAGCGAGGAGCACTTTCTTTATAAACCAATAGACTATGGCAATCATATCGCTGATATATCCTTGTGCTAGGGTGGACTATTTCGTAGATTGCTTCTTTATTAATGCCGAGAGCAAGGTATGATTAAAGGTGCCGATTTCGAAGCCACGAGATTCACGATAGACTATGTCTATCTAGGTAGAAATGCCATTTTTAGCCTAAGGAAGGTTGACAGCATTGTATAGGATATCCTAGACTTCTTTATCCTCCTAAATCCTACCGCTTAAGATAAAAAACTAACTTATTCCTCGGTGGATTTTAGGGATAGTTCGGCCGATCCCTCTGATAATTCTGGCTCTAATATCTCTATCTAAGATCTATCGGTGAATATAAATTCATGGCCCTACGTAGAAACGTGGTCCGAAAAGTCTACGTTTCTACTAGAGATTAGGGTTACCAAACGAACATCCTAATCTATATCAAAGATATTATCTAAACTATAGTTTACGGCGAGTGCCAGCTATATGATTTTTTGAAAAGATAAAACAATATCAAGAAGAGCTATACATTACTATTTAGGGGTCTATCGCTCGGTTCTAAGTGATTTAAGAGCTTTTCGGGCCACATTAAGTATCTTAGTAGTTTCCGAACGTACCTACAGCCATAAAGGTTATTAGGAAGGTTTTAAACTATCGTTAAGCCTCTTTAGTATACTTACCAATAGAAATGTGCGGCGCACGTGTAATATATAGACCTCTTAAAGACGCTTTCTTAACGTATTGATGCCGAAGTTCTCAGCTCGCACGCGGTTCTATAGAGAAGTATAATACTACTTTTCCTCTAGAATATCCCGGTCGACATTCCTATCGTTAAGCTCCTATTGTCTAAGGTTCCGAATAACAACCCACCTAAGCTAGCTACTCGTATTTTGATCCTCGATCATATCTATAACTTTGTTTTAGGTTCCTTGATCTACGACGTCGATCTTAGTCATAATAGGCAGAGTTCTTTCGCCTTTTAGATCGATTTCGCGGGCTATCTCGATAATTTCCTACGTCGCAATATCTACGTTTATTAGAACAACGGTTAGTATAATAGAGCGTAGGTTCTTTATATAATTATAAACTATATCTCGGACTAGTACTATATTATCTTTTGTAGTGACTCTATAGACAGTGTTTTTAAATATCCCTAGGACATCAATTATACTGAGATGATCCTCCTAAGGACTATAAATTTTAAGCCGGAGAACGCTGTTAGAGAACGTCGGCTTACTATAGGTCTCAATGACTTATAAATTATAAAGATTTAAAAGTTTATAGACCTAGTTATATTAGGGTATATTCTAAGGAAGTATAGAGAAAGAAATTCAAAAGCTTACCTCTCTTATCATCTAAGCAAACCCTTCTACGCTAAGAGCCTATAGACCAGTAGTATTTCAATCCCTAAGTTTCTATTCCTTATTAGGGTTAAGACCCGGTGCTAGAATTATGGAAGCCGAGATCTCTTGACTAACAAAGTTGACTTTTCGCTGGAAGATGATCTGCGTCGCGAAGCGAGTGTAGAGGCCGCTGTTACGGGGGAAGCTCAACTTGGTCAAGCCTTCGAGGACAGAGCTCTTCCCGCTTGACTGGTCGCCCACTACCACCAACTATGGAAGATCGATGTATTCTCCGATATTGCAAGCAAATAGTCGATCAATTTTTTCAAGTAGGTCAGGGTCTGCCAAAGTGGTACTTTCAACCTCCTTGACGACCATGATTGCTGCTGATGATTGGGAAGATGAAACTGTTGAGGATAGCATAACCTGTTGTATAGATTATTATTAGGTGGGGAGAAAGCAGAAGAAGAATCATTAATTGATTAAAGCTAAAAATGCAGGGATTTTATATACTGTGTTAACACCATCTGAACAAAGCTCATTCTGTAGCAAACAAGCAAATATGAAATACCGAAGCAAAGAATCACTCTATACTCTATACCTAAGTCATACCGAATAGCCAAGGAAACTTTTCTTTCCTTAAATAAATCTTAATAGGGTATCCGTATAGGATATAACTTCTCTCTTTCAATCAATACCTATTAACCCTCCCGAGGTAGCTTACTCAGGCTGCTCACCCCAAGTTCTGCTCAGACTCAGATGCTCAGATCTACTCAGTGAGCAAAAAGCGGCAAGGGAAAGCCAAGAAATGACGGAGGAAACCAAGTACATATGTTGTAGGTATAACCACTTCTATTTGTTTCTTTACTACCAAAGGTTATACACAAACAGATGTGATGTTCCACCAGGAACACTTGCTAATATTTTACCTGGTAAACCAATTAGAGATATACATGAATGCTTCCTTCCATATCACCTGCAGACGCCCTAACTAATCGAAGGCTTCATCTGCTCTCATGCCCTGCGCCAGCCTCACCTCCATCTGTCTGACCAGCGACTGCGGGACCTCTTCTTGCGTGGCACGAACAGTGACGCGATACATCTGAACAGGAGTGTTAGCATGACGAAAAGAGTCAGAGTTAGTTCTAATGCATACCTTCTTCTCGTAGTTGGGCTCCAGCCGTAGCAGACAACCCGTCTTACCACCCTCGAATTGATACACGGCACACCCAACAATGTTTTGAGAGTTTGGATCGACACCGTCCAAAATCTTGAATGCGAATCCCTCAACAATCTTCCGAGTGAATCTCTCGTTGGCGGTCTTGCTCTTACCCAGCAAACCGAAGGTTTTCTGGGATTCCAGCGGGCCACCGCCAATCTGGCGCCATCGCTTGAAGAATTCATCGGCTGATAGAGACGAGGATTCCATGTAGCGGTGCATCAGCACAGGCAGCTGGAGTGTGTAGGCCTGGAGAGCACCGGCCAAGTATGAGATACGGATGGTAGGTGCATCCGTGAAGGGGCCATGGGCGGTGCAGAACAGAGTCTGCTGGGTCTGCCCGGCAGCCGGGATTGTTGGTTCGGGCAGGTTCTTTGTGTCGATCTTTAGTTGAGGAGAGGCCGGATTGTCGACGGTGGTGGTCAGAGAGCCAATGGGGTACGTGGACTTGTTCGAGATGTAGAGCTTCACGACACCCATCGGACCGCGGTACTCCGAGCGTAGTCCGACCTGGATCTGTGCGTCTTCGAAAAGCACACCCTCGCGCAAGAAGAACAGTCGGTTGTAGCCGATGTCCCATTCTGGCGTCAGATGAGCGGCACTAGCCATGTTGGGGGCTGGGGCTGATGGGCCGCTGAGATCCAGGCCTGCCAAGTCGCCCGATGCACTGGCCGCATTGGACGCGGTGGCCGGGCTGGCTGGAGTACTGCCGGACCCAGTGCGCGTGCCATGAACGATTGTCGTGAAAGTGCGCTTGAGACCGGTGTTCTGTGCCAAGAGCATTTCTTGCTTGTCCGCATTCGCGTCCTTGCCACCGATAACCCAGGTCTTCTTCTCACTTGCACCGGCTGTCTTCTGGTGTAGCCGAGAAAGTAGGATGGAGGTTCGCTCCGAGAATGGCGGCATCTCATCACAGACTGTTCGCAGCAGATCGTCAGTCGGGAGAGTCGCCAGCGACAGGTACTCAAATGCTCGCTGCTGCAGTTCGGAATCGGGAGAATGGCTGTACAGGCGGAAGATTTGCAAGAGCTGAGGTTTGATTTCGGGGAACAGATTCACGAACTTGACAAACGACGAGAGGATCATGGCCCGCGCGTTGTCTGAACTGGAGAACATCTTGGCCTGCAGGGCCAGGAATTGCTCAATGGGGCTCGAGCCTGCGTTTTCGGCGATTAGATGGCCGTACTCGCCCAAGACATAGCACCCGATTTTAACCAAGCTTTCGTGGCAATCGGACTTCATGTAGCCCAGCAAGGTGTGTGCTGCGTAAGCTTGTAGTTCTTCGTTGTTGGTCACGATCTGAATCACTCGTTGCCATACTTCATCGTTGACATGTTCGCCTGCCAGGGAGAGCAGTTTCAATGTCATGTCAATGTACCACTGTGCATCGGCAGCGTACTTCTCGGTAAGAATGGCGACCTTGAGTACCATTTCCTCTCGAATGGCATAATCGGCAGTCTGCAGGTATCGCAGAAGCTCGTTAACAATGGGGCCGGCATTACTGGTATCACACATGCTGTATAACAGGTCCAATCCTTTGCGACGAACACTGATGTCACGGTCTCGAAGCGAGCCCAGGATGATGTTCTGGTGCTTTTTAATCGGGTCAAGAGTCTCAGCCCGAGCGGCAAAATGGGTCAGCGCATCCAAGCCAAGGTATCGAACGTTGGTCTCCCGAGACTGAATGTATTTGCCTAGGCGGGTAGATATTTGCATCATGAGGTTGTGCTCAGAGTCAAGGTGGATAAGAAGGTTGATAGCTTCAAAGAGAATGGCGTTTTGGGCGTTGTTCTGCTGAACATTCTTGGGCGTCTCCATTGCAGCTTGCATCATCTGGGAGAGGGATTCTCGAATAATTTCGCGAACATGGCTGTCCTCTGTAGTTATTTATGTGTGAGAATCTGAGTTATAAGCTGCCACGGCACTACACATACCTGATGGGGGATAGTATTGCAACAGGCGCAAGAACTTAACCTGAATCCATGGACATGGTACGCGGTAGTAGAGGTAGTCCGGGGCGATATCATTGTCAACCACAATCCGCTTCAGTCGCTGGGCAGCCTTGACATAACAGCCTTTGTATTCCTCTGGCAAGTCCTGAGCTAGGGCCATGACCAAAGAGGTGACGGAGAGCGTTACTCCCATGTCGGGGTCATCCATGATCGATATGATTCTTTCGGCCCATTCGTTTCGCACGATGCCGGGATATTTGCGGTACAACCGAAGTAGTGTTAAAGCAGCCTTCTTTTTGACGAAAGCTTTGGAGGTACTGGAAATTGTCAGAATAATCATTTAAAAAAAACAAACAAGGAACGTCACTAAACTCACGGCGAGATGAGCAGCCTGTGAACCTCCGATCCGAGTGCTTCTCCAAGTTCTTTACCACCGACGTTGGCCACGGCGTGTAGGGCCAAGCAGTTATTCAATTCATTATGATCGAGCAGATCCTTCCGGATACTGTTGACAACCAAATGAAGCAACTCATGCTCTTCGTGCAAAAACAACGTGACAGCCAAGTATCCGATCTGCTTCTCAGAGTACTTAGGCGAAGAGATCAAGTTAACAGCCTCGAGATGGCCGAAGTCCACATCATAACCCTGAATGTAGACATAGAGCAATTTGCAAACATATTTTTTCTTCTGGTAACCATTAAGACTGCCAGACTTAAACTTCTGCCGAATATTGGCCAGTTCCTTATTCACGCGCTTCTCCTCGAGTTCTCTAGCGCGGGCATTCCGCAAATCAGCAATGAATTGCACAAGCCCTCGCATGGACGACATAGCGACAGTAATAGTGTAGTGTATTTATCGGCCCACCGACGCGAAAAAAAAGAATTGATGACTATGGTATGGCGGGGGGTTTCGGTCGAGGTGCGCCCTCGCATGCCACGCGGGATTATCACCTCAGGGGGTTCGCGATCGGATGCACGTCACACAACCATGTCCCGGTTATGCTAGTGGGTGGATTATGGGGCATTGGCCGTGCAGCGTGTCGGGTGATGGATTTCCGGCCTCGTGGAAGCTCCTTGGAAAACAGGGGGTTGGGTGTGGTATGAGGGAGTTGAATTCTGGGTGAGCTTGTCAGCAGTGGTTGGTTGGGGTGGGCCGGAAGTATCCGATTGAACCGCGGCAACATACAGAATAGTGTCCAGTTTAGAGATCCTAGGATAAATAGGCCGAGCAACACGCGAAGTCGAGATGAGTCCATCCCCGTAACTTGTCCGCTCTGTATTTCATTTTGGGTCACTTCCGCTGTCGATCAGCCCGGGTTCCGCTGTGGCGGTGTGTGGCGGCGGAGGAATACTGATCCGGCGTGGCAGTGCAATGGGTAGTATATGTTGTAGTTTCTATTCAGTAGTCTAGACAGACTATATCTCAACATGAAAACATTCGGGAAAGAGGATGCTTTATAATTACTTCAACTTATTTCCCTCATTCTAGTCCATTTCGATAGCCACTAAACAAGCCGCCTACATGTTATTGTCAATCCTTTCGTGGCCTTTGATGTTTATATATGTATCGAAAATCGGATAGTATTAATGACTCATTTCATATCTCATTCAAGTAGTAATTGATATCCAAGCAACCTCAACCAGTAAAAATGCCCAATCCCAAGACTCCACCTCCCCATCAAGACGGGGATAAAAAAATGCAATTATCAAAGCAAAGGTATAAGTGAATCGAGTCACTTAAGCACGGCCAGTGAAGTCAACCTCGAGAGCAGAATCAACACCAGCAGCCTTCTCACAAGTGCAAGAAGCTAAGTCAAAGTTAGCAGGGAATTCAAAACCACAAATCACATCGGAAACTTAAAACTCACCCTGAGGACGGCTGCCACAGGCACAGGTTTCACCAGCGATAGTCTGGTTCTCGGTGACGGAGCGTTCACAGGTGCATTGGCCAGCTGGGCGAGAGCCTATTTCGAATATGTTAGTATATTGTTTCTTTTGAATTATCAGAATAGTGGGATTACATACGGCATGAGCAGCGGGGACCTGAAACGGTGTTCTCGGAAGAAGCCTTGTTGCAGCTGCAGTTCAGGGCGCTCTGCTGGCCACAGGAGCACTTGGCCTGGGCGGCACAGACGCAGGAGCCGTCCTGGGTGGTCTTGCAGCAGGTGGTAGTGGGGTGGACCATTTTGGCGGGTTGATTTGATATGACGTCGGTTTTTGAAGATTGAGCAGGTGATGTTGATGAAGGTGAGGGAATTTGCTGAGTTTGCAAGATTGAAGTGATGAAAGATGCAGAAATGAGATTGTTTTGGAATCAAGATGAGAGTGTCTGAGAGAAAGAAAATAACACGCCCCTTCTACGAGTTGTTTTATACTCTTTCTGTATGCGTCAGAGGTGAGTAGTGATTATCAATTGAAGGTCTCTGATTGGCTACGAGAGGTGATATCACGTGGTACGGTGTTCTGTTTTTGGTGGACGCTGATTGGCCCATTGCGGAGACAAGCAAATACGCTCCTCTTGAGTGGCTGGGCGATCTGGCCTGACGGTGGATGTGTTGAGGCAAGAAGAATTTGATTACTTTTGTCTTGATTCTGATTCGATGGGTAGGATTTGGATGACCTATGTTGGTGGGGAGCTTTGTGTTGGGAGGTTTTATAGGGTATGTAAGCAAGGGAACTACTGTTTAGTTGCATCAGGAGCTCTGACATTGTTGAGTCAAACTCCGACGCTAGTACGGAGTACGAAGTAAAGAAAACAGATATATTGGAATATTTAATGTGTCAGGAAAGTAGATCAAAGTAGAGAAATGTCAAGGAAAACCTAGTTTAATTGGTTCAAGTGAATTGTAGACTTGATGGTCTGTCTGCTTCTAAACACAGCATCTCTATACCATTTTAACCTTTCACCCCGAGGCTATGCAGTTAGATTAGAAACAATTAACATTAGACAAATTGTCTCGCAGACAATGATCGCTAGATTCCAGACCAGACCAAAAGAAACGCGACGAAAAGGGGAACAACAGGATGTGAAATCAAACGAACATGCAGGCAAGTAAAATATTTTAGATAGTTGATAACACAGGATACAGAAGAAAACGAAGAAAAAAAAGAAAACCCCAAAATACCAGAAATGATGAACGCTATGAGAATGATTAATGATTATACTCGCTGATATAGATCGCGGATCCTTGGTTAACCTAGCTAACCAGAAGCTGGAAGGAGATGGAAGGAGATGAAGGAGGAGATATAGAAAGCAAAACGAGGATGTCGTATAGCAGACAAGTGGTAGCCGGTGTTTTTTTAAGAGCCCACTGTCTTGCTCCCCTCACTGCTGAATATAATTGGGGTAGTTGTATGCTGGCTCCGAAGTTGGGAGACTCAGAGTCGAGGTGTTTGCTTGTGTGTAGGGGACTTGTGTGCCCATTGGGCCTGCGGTGGCATCGTAGGCATAAGGCCGATAGTCTTGTGCGGCCGTGACTGGCAGGTTCTGCATAGTGGCCATGGGTCGGCCTTGGGTTGGTAATTGAGAGCCCATTCCAAGATTGTAGTTTTGTTGTTGGGGGGCTGTATGAAACAATCATGTTAGAAAATCGGTTAGAGAACTTCGGCAGAAGGAGAGAAAACTAACCCAGATTGTTCATGTCATAGGCAATGTGAGAACCTTGAGTGTCTGTCGGCGACACTGAGCCCTCGAAAGATTGCTGTTGGTCATAGGGTCCCATCCCTGGATGACGAGGCATAGCGTATTCCATGGGTCGTCTCATATACGGTAGACCTGGCTGATTTGGCTGCCCCGCGAAACGATTATGCATGGGATACCCCGCATATGGCGACGGATGGGCCGATGCATCGGACAAGCTGCTTGACCTAGTGACTGGGTAATCGTTGCGGATGGTTCTATGTAAATCGGACATGGAAGCAGACGCAGCAGGGCGGAACATCACGTTCGACTGAGACATGTTCTCATTTCGTCCTCCGGTCGAGGACATGTAGGTTCCTGCTGTTGATGCAGAGCTGAGAGGTGAGACGAGATATTCATCTTCATTTGGTCGGGCGTAGCAATCGGTACGCAGTGTTCTTAAAGCCCCGAAATCTGGATTTGGAACGCCGTAGCCTTGTGGAGATGCCACTGGCGTGACACCTGATTGTTTCCCCTCAAAGGGTGTGCGGAGAACCTTTGTGGTATCGAAATCGTCAGGAAGGGCCCGAGATTTGAGCATCCTCTCTCGATCATTCGTAGTGAGACGCTTGAGCTTTGCTCGTCTGACAGTACGTCCACGTTAGCCAAGGACCGACGATTCAACTGGTTAAAACACCCTACCTATTTTGGAACCAGACCTGTACTTGACGCGGGGTCAACCCAGGGATCTCCCTCGACAGACGTTCTCGATGAGCCGCATCGGGATGTGCCTGGCGAGTGAACTCGCTCATCAGAAAGCGGGTTTGGTTATGTGTTAGACTATACTTTCTGTCAGTAACAATGCGCTGTACTTCGAAGACAAAATTCCCGTACCGAAAACGCTTCATCTTCTTCTTCTCCATCGAAGGCGATCTATTATCATCGCTACCCATCATATCCTTATCGTCATCAGGACTGATTGTCGATTCTCTCTCGTGGTCGTCTCTTGGGTCATGCGGGCCCGAAAACGAGGAAACCGCGTCTTCAGGATGATCCCCGTGCCCGATCAGGGGCTGAACAGTCGAAAAGCCCCGCTGATTCAGACTCGGAATCTCCAACTTAACACGTGGAAGCATATCCTGTTTCGCCGCCTCCAACCGGTGGTTGACCGTGTCCCGTGAAACATCTCGCTCCAGATACGGCGCTGAACCCATGCTGACAGGCTGTGCCACTGGGTTATTCAAGGCGTTCTCAGCCTTATAACCAGTCGGCTGCATCTCCACTGGACGAACGGGAACGTGCACAGGAACAGGAACGCCGGGCTCCTCTTTCTTCTGCACAGATAGCCGTGGCGAGATAGTCCTAGGCCCTAAAGAGAGTCTCTCGCTATTTCGGGCTGATAGATGAGATGAAACTGCAGATAGGGGCGAAGGAACTGGCGAAGATAATGAAGGCAACCAAAGGCAAGGGCCGCCGACTGACATGGTAAGGGTCTAGTTTTGGTATGTGTGTATGTGTGTGTGGCCCTTACCCACGATAGTATAAAACCAAAGACAGGATTCTCTTTTGAAAAGGAAAAAGAAGTAGAGTCAAGACTTTTCATCAACAGAAACAATAGGAGAAATCCTAGCCCAAAAAGGAAACGGTAGAATCCTCCCCCCGATATGAGACGTTGGTGGGTCTGATCGAAGCGCCGTTTAAAAAAAAAAAAAGGGTCAGGCTGTCTTCTGCAATTTAAAGTAAAGGGTGAATCTGTTTTGTTCCAGAATTTAGAGAAAATAAGAAAGGGGATTAAGGGCGCCAAAGAGCATGTCAGGTGAAGAAGAACAGGTGTGTCTTCCAGAAGAGGAGAAAAGAGGGAAAAAAAAAAAACCCAAGTCCTAAACGAGGATAAGACGTCAAGCGGGACAACTGTCTCTAACCTTTATTCTTTTATTATTTTTTTTTCTCCTTCTGGATCTCAGATCGGGTCCGATTGAGATTCTGATGATCGTTACGCAGCTGGGTAGCTATAAGATGTTGAGAAAGAAGCATCCACCAAAGTGAAAATGTGGTACCTGGGAACACACAATGCCGCTAGACTAGGATCGACCGGAGATATCCTGTGAGGCAAATAGGTGGTTAATAGCCAAGCGAGGCAACAGTGGAAATACAGGGATATTAAAGGGAATGGCCCCAGGGTCCACCACTTTAGCCCGATAAATCCCATGTACATGTTGAACATAGTTAACTATACAACTGGGCATATAATATAATACTTCGTGCTCTGTAGTATCCTTATCTTCTAGTCTACATCGATGAGAATATTCTAAGTATTGAAGTCCAAAAAAGAACAACCAAGAATCGAATGAATACAGGCAGTTCAACTTAATCCATTGTCAGAGAGTGGGCCTGAGGGGGTGAGACTTAATGTTGTACATGTATGGAGTACAGTGTAGAAAGTCCAACAGATCACAGAGTCAGTCCACAGATCAACACTCAGATCTATTTACCTGGATGAAGATCCTATACCAAACGGTCTATAGCGGCAGCCGTTAACCTTGTTGGTAAAACATCAGGTTACAGATGGTATAGATGGTACGGGACGGTACGGATGACTAGTATCAGAATCAGAAACTAAAAGGATCGGCTCGGAGAATAAAGTCGCCTCTGATCCAATGCCCATATCTGGCCTAAGCCCTTTTATCCGTAAGGCGTCCCTGAATACGATGTGAGAGGTACCCAAAGAATACGGGGTAAGAGAATAAGTCAGAACTCTGCCGTGCATTGAACCATCGAGGCTCTACCCTCGTAACTACTGTTCAAGGGGTATGGATCCATGAGAATGTGGAAATCGTATGGTCTGTCTAAGCTGAAAAGCTGAGAACCACCACGTCAAGTTAGCTCAAGCTTGGACGATAAAGGGGATATATGGGTCCTGCGGGACCCGAGACTCGGGAAGAAGAAAGGAAAAGATAAAGGGGAGAGAGACAATGGCCCTACTTGTATGTCTTTTTTTTTTTTCTTTTTGTTCTCGATTTATATCGAAATTGAAGGAAATAGAATTAATTGGGATCTCGGACCTGTATACGGAGCACGGAGTACGGAGCACAACATAAAACAGTAGAAAAGAAAAAGAAAAAGAAAAGAAAACGAGCAGCCTAGGTAAGACCCTCACCGGAACGCGCATACCAGGCCATGTGGAATGGGACCGGTCGGCCGTGTTAGTGGCTCGCTGAAGGGATCCATAAGCGGAACCCTACGCCAGACCCTCAGGGCTATCCCAAAGAGCCACTCAGCGGGCTGCCCGCCACATCTCCATGGATGCCTCGGAAAGAAGCGAAGCTGATGGGATGACATGGATGGGAAAAAAAGGGGGGAAGAGAATTAGGAAAAAATTGGGAGAATATATTAAAACAACAATATATATTACATATATATAAAATCCAATCAGGAGGGCTGAACTAATATAAAGAACTATATTAACGATATTTGAAACTTCAACAATGGGTCCGGTTTTACCGGAGTGATATACATCGTAGAGCCTCGTCCGAAGGAAAATTCGATAGTTCCATTGAACAGGAACGGTTATGTACGGAGGGGAGTGTACGGAGTGTACGGAGTGCTTTGTTCAGGAAAGACCACCAAGCGGGCCTTGCGCAACGAAAATCATTCGCAAAGGGGCTATTTAGTGAGACTATACGGAGTGCCATGGCTCGGTAGTTGTTGGAGGGGAGACAAGTTCCCAGTTCCCCTGGAAATCTCCACAAATGTTATGAAACAATTCGAGTCGCAGGTGAAATGAGGCGTTGTGTCAATAAATGCTCCGTGATATTTTCCGTGAGATCCATGTGGGTCAATAAGGGCTGACGAAGAGTATCGGAATAGGATTAATAAGGTAATAGGAACTAGAGGTCTGGTAGTTATCAGTAGTAGTATCAGTAGTAGTAGTAGTAGTAGTAGTATTCTTTCTTTTTTCCCCATAGAGTCAATATCAACATATAGATATGCATAGTTAACTAACTATTGACCAAGTAAACCAAGTACTTATCCTCCAAGGTGGAGTTCGGAGGAGAAAACTCGGAGCCGTTGGATTTCGATCAGAGTGCCGATCGTGCCTATTTATTTATTTATTTTATTGTTTCGTCTTAAGACCCTTAGAACAGAAAACAAAAAAAAAAAAAAAAAAATTACAAAGGATCAGGATCACACCGTTGGAACGTATGATGTCCTTGTCCTTGTAATCTCCCTTCTGGAACGTGCTGTGCGGGGAAACTAGATCGAGTACAACATACAACATACATTACTTGATCTCTTTTTGTACCTATACACACATATATATAATAGTAATTAAGCCACGTACGAAGTACTATATACACCAAGTACTGTACTTATTCCCATCGGACTTTACATTAAGTGGGTGACGCAAGCCGATCTCTTGGCGGGATGGAGAGGATGGAGATGCTTTTTCTCCTTGATTAAAAATAAATAAATATTAATCTACAACATAATGAGTTCTACTATAATATGCCGTGCAATATCTATATAAGTTACAAAGAGAATATGTTGTAGAGTATGCTCTGAAGATCACTATAACTACTTTGTATCTGTACTATACTAACGGATTATATTGTACACGTATGTTGTAACTTGTTGGTATACATGTACAGGTCCCGATCTAGAAAGTTGAGTATCGTCTTTTGCCTAAAAAGAACTACAGTGGATCAGGAATAAAAAAGAAAAAGAACGAAAAACCCGGATTAGGTATCAGACATACGGAGCTATCGGTCTGTCCATAGTCCGTCCTCCGTGAATGGAGTATACTACAAGAGAAGTAAATGGCCAGTGCATTCAGATCGGACCACATGGCCACCGTTATTACTCCGTATGTTGTACTTATGTTGTACACCCCCTTCTAAATAGTTATCTCTTGGTCCACTGGTGGAGATCTAACTCGACGCTTGTGTCGATAGTGGTTCAGACGGTTTTTCCCATGTGGCTTTTACACTTTTGGTTTATTTTGTGTCTAGTGTATGGAGTAGTAGTGGACACTAGGATAGTCTAGGAGAGTGCACCGAACCCCAGACGATCAGTGCACGATTTTCCTGGCTTCGCTTGCTCTTCTCGAACTATATTGTATACATCGTCAATGAACTGCTCCGTACTCCGAACTTCCGTATATGGAATTCAAAGGATTTTTCCATGAGTTGACGAAAAAAGGGGGCCAAACTAAGTGGACAGGAAAAAAAAAAAAAAAAAAAAAAAGTGCCCACTTCTGCAACTAATGGGTCAATTGGGGGTTTTTTTTTCCGTGTTTCTCGTGTATAATGTACTCCTGGAGAAGCATACTCCATATTCTCTCCTTTTTATTTTGATTATTTGGTTCTGATGAAGTCGCCTACCTAGGTAATCTTACTGCCTACTAATCAGAAACGATTTAATCTTACTATGTACTCCGTACTTAGTTTCTCATTGATACAAAACAAAAATCTGGGAAAAATCCTGTAAAGTGAAACATGGGCTGGAACGCCAACGCCACTGATGAGAAATTAGTTCTGGAGAACACAGAACGTGATTATTTATTTTTCTACTTTAGCTACTTCATGCAGGAACCATTTCAAGAGTTTTGTATTAGAGTTGCCGATCAGCTAAAGCATTGTAGTCTCCACGTTGGCTAATTGATCGAGGTCTCCAGGGCATTAGTCTCTCCCCATTGCCCCGGGTATGGACTTTCATCGCTTCTGCTGGTGACCCGCTTCCCGTAAAATGCTGGTTTTGGCTCAGGAGTGCCCGCAATCGGCCAGTCGGCCCAATTGTTGTGTTTTAGTTCCGGTTTAAGCGACGTCCCTGTCCGATTCTGCTCCGATGAAGCTGGACCGATGGCGACCATGGAGAGGGGAGTTCTTGAAAAAAAAAAAAAAAAAAAAGAAAAAAAAAAGGCTCGTGAAATGAACCTCAATTAGACCAGATACAGGTTTAACTCTGCCGGCAAGGAAGATCCAGGACGCACTTGGATATTCGTTATTCGTATTCGAAAAAAAAAAAAAAAAACCAAGTGCTGAATTGTCCCAGTCGCAGATAGTGCAGGTGCACGGATGTGGTAATCTCGCTCTCAGATCACGGTATCAACGGCGCTGTGATATTGATGCAGGAAACCCTGCAAGTTGCCTGATAATCTGGATGTGGTTGGACGCGGTGTGATTGCGCCGGATGGTGCCCATTGGGGGATTTTCTCCGGACAAAAGGGGGTCAAAGCCATGGAGTATCCAACAGAATATCTTCAAGCCACAATCTGACTTTACGTGGCAGAGTCCTTTTCGGAGGCGTTAGCGGCGGCAAAGGCCTCTTCGTTGTTGTCATCCGTGCTTGGGTTTTGTTCTTCACTGATGACGTCTTTGTTTTTGACTTGGATTTCCGGCTCATCTGTGCCCTGGGGCAGACTCTGAAGGTCCTGAGCACCCTCAGACTGGCCAGCTTTCTCGGCTTTGCCCTCAATAGGCTCTTCAGACTTAGCAGCCTCGCTCGCTCCAGCGGGCTCTTTGTCCTCGGGCTCTTTGGTTTCAACAGGCAGATCCTGAGCTCCACCGAGGGACTGAGAGATATCCTTGGTATCCCCCGAGGAAGTGAGCTCATTGTTATCCTCAGTCGCTGTAGCAGTCTCGAACAATACCTGTAGGTTGTTGCCCTCTCCAATTTTGTCGAATGCAGCGAGCTTTCCTTTCGCGGCAAGACGTAAAATTCGCCAGGACTTGCTGGCTTTAGCACCTTCGGCAATCGCCTTATCCTCGTCGGTCATCGCCATATCGATGTCCATTTCATCGTCCATGATGCCCTTCAAGAACGAGTCCGCAGAAGGAACGCTGTAGCGGTCGGATTCCTTGAGACGCTCAATATTGGCCAGCGCCTCAGTGTCGGCAAGGAACTTCAAATCGAGAGAGCCCATCGGGGACGGACGAAGGCGTTTGTTGGCATATGCTTTGGTGGCGTGCTCGCGGGAAGTGGTGTATTCCGCCGCCGAGATGGCCGGCCGTTCAATCAATGGACAGCCTTCGGCTTTCCACCGCACCCAGTTTTTGTCTCGAGACAAGACCGTGTCAACCATGCGATAGTAGAACTTGCCCCCGGGTCCTTCTTGCAGATATCCCTCGATGCCTTTTCGCATGCCGGTCGCCCACTTGGTATCCTCCTCGTTCAAAGTGAACCCGTAGAGAACGGACTTATTCGTCGTATTGGTCAGGCGCGATTTGGATTTTGATGTGAGAGAAAGCACAAAATCGAGGAGGATAAGAGCCTGGACAAGAACATGTCGTCGGAAGGCAGTATCGCTGATCTCGAGGTCAAACAGATCCCGGCTGGTCAAGTACTTCGGATTGAAGCTGGTGGCGACTTCAGTACCGTCCGCGATGCGCTTGCGCTTGTTCGACTTGCGAGCATCTTCCGAGGCTCGCGCAGATCTCTCGTTTTCCATCTCAGTGTTGATGTTCTTGAATGCAGCAAGCGTAGCTTCCATTCCGGTCTTAAACGATGTAAACCGTTCAGCGTCGAACATCTTGCTCGGTGCGGAGAAATAGGCCTGAAGGCTCCAGAAGAGCGGATAGAGCGCGTTCAAGTCGACTTCGTCTGATTTCTTCTCATCACCAGTAGAAACAACAACCCTGGGCAATTTCGAGCTCTCAGTCTGGCCTGCCGCAGCCTCCCCGGGCGCCGTGGGTTCAGCCCCTCCAGTCATTGTTGCATCCTCCTTCTGCTCGGTAGATTCTTTCGAAATTTCGTCAAAAGTTGTAACATTCTCAGAGTGGAACTCGCCGCGAAGGTTAACTGAACTCTTGTCTCCAAGTGGGAAACTCTGGAAGAGATAGATAAACACCCGACCACAAAACACAGTATCCTCTGCGCGCGAGAGCCGGCGAAGAAGTTCGTTGCATGATCGTAAAATAACTAAGCTTTTCTGTTTGAAGTGTTTCTTTTGCGGGGTCAGCTTTGCGACAGATCTAGTAGATGGGGGACCATGCTAACCTTGGTGTTCCTTTCTCTTCGGGACTCCAAGTAGTCGAACACCTTGCGACAGCCATCAATGGTTTGACTATCCAAGAGCTCTTCGATGAGCCAGAAAATAAGGCCGGGTTCGCATTGTTCTGGTGGTTGTTAGAGCCGTATGGAGTGTGGGCGGAGTGCGGAGACTGACCATTATCAGAAAAGATGGAGACGATGTCAAGGAGGTTCCAGATTTGAATGAAAGCAGGGTCATCGATGGTAGTCGAGGCCTATGACGAACTGTTAATAATGCCCTGGGGACTCGAGAGTTGTACAGGTCGTACCAAAACGCGATAGAACTTCTCGCGAAACGCGATTTCCACGGCCGCAATCTTAGTCTGTGGACTTAAGTGTTTTGTAGCCTTGCCATCCTCAGACGGAACTTGCCATATCGACTCGCCCAGGTGTGTTTCGTTCAAAGGGGGTTCGATCTGCTTGTCGGGCTTCACCTGCGCGGCGCGATCCAGGAGATTGTCCACTAGTCTTTTGTAGACCTGGACACCGGCAATGTCCTCGTTCGCCATTTTCTGAAGTGTTTACCCAGGCGCCTGTAGGGACCCTTGAAGGGTTGTGTCAAAGTGTCGAATCGGACTGTCGTCTCGGGCGTGTTCGTAGGCGTCTTCTCAGGCGTCTTTTTGAGGGCCTTGGGAATTTCCTTGATTGCGGTCTTCAGCTTCTTCTCAAGAGTCTCTTCAATCTTCCCTTTAAAGACGAGTTACAAGAGCAAGAAGAAAGTTTAGATGGGTGCAGGAAGGTGGGAAACAAAGTGGTCAGATTGATTGAGGACTGCGGCTCGGCGGAATTGAATGCCAAGACTTTTTGAAAAGCTCCCCCAGCTTCACTAATTCAGATGTTCCCGACTGCGCCAATCCACCCCTCCTTGACCAACTCCAATTTATTAGGTTAAGGAAACTATTGACTCCTGCGATGGCGCAGAGTCTCGAATCCAGGCCTACAGTGGTGGACTTTCGTGAAGAAAGCCCGTGGGTGCAGCTAGCCAAGGCCCACTGGCTGAACACGAAGGTCCGCAAGGCCAAACCAGATGTCATCAAGAAGCAATTGTGGGATCCTTTGGAAGCAGAGGCTTTCAACAGTCGCTCGCTATTGATACTCGAGAACTTGAATATTCTTGAGAAGTACGTTATCGGCATTCATGCCTACAGGGCCAACGCTAACTGTTCTCCAGGTTCCTTTGGCCGACCTACACAGAGGATGCGTCGAATCATCATGTAATGTTGATTGCATTGATCGTCAGCGTGAAGAATCGGGAGCACTTGCCGATATGGGGTGAGTCAATGCGACGAGATCTATAACACAGCGAAGCTGACAGTGGCAGATATCTTCTCCGACCGCGCCGATGACTTCTCCAATCTCTTCCACCGTATTCTCTCCATGAGCATTGATAGTTCACTTCCGACTCACTCTCGACTCTCTATCATATCGTTTATTATCAGCGCCTTCCAGTCGCTCGAGAACGTCCTGATCCGCAAAGAATGCGCGCCGCTCGTTTCTATCTCGGTTTGGCACAACCTGGCCAGTGAGGAGACTAGAGATCGTATTATTGCAAAGGCCCCAACACTTAAGAAGGCATGGAGAGCCTCTGCGAAGCGATACGACGCTGGAGATGAAGCAGCGAAAGCAAAGATGCGATTCGAGCGTTCATGGCTATACACGATGCTCTTGGATTTCCTTCATAGGTTGAACGGACCCGAAAAGGACCAGGCTGAGAACTTGCTGTACTGTGAACGTTTCCTTGAGCTCTTGGTTGATCTCGAAAGTCAGCTTCCCACCAGGCGCTACGTGAACACGCTGTTGAAGGACCTCAACCTTCTGTCGGTTATTCGCCTCTCACAACTCTACCGTGTGCCTGATAACGCCCTCCTTCGCGACTTCCACAGCCTTCTCAAACATTTTGTCCAATTTGCAATTGATGATTACTCTGGTGAAGCTCTTTCTCCGCAGGGAGTCTACGACCTGCATTGCCAGGAATTGGCCCAACTGCAAAGAACCTCAATGAAGTTCTTCAAAGACAAGCTCACGATCCTCGCGCTCTCCAATATGGGGTCAATTGCGCAGCGGGCGGATCTAGAGGGACAGCTATCTTCTCTAGACGAGTCGGAACTCCAGAGCCTTTGTTCCCACCTAGGATTCCGCACAAGCTATCCAAAATCATCGCACGTCACTCCAGACCGTCAGTTCTATCTGGAAGTCTTGGCATCTTTCTATGAACGCAAGGTGCCCTTCCAAGAAGTTGTCGAGAAGTTGAGTCCACTTCCGACTGAAGAAACCCTCTATGACCCGGCCTTGCTGAGGAATGAGACATACGACGGATCGAGGCCTCTGGCAATCCCAAAGTTAAATCTCCAGTATCTGAGTCTCGGAGATTTCCTTTGGCGCTCTTTCCTCCTCTACCGGTCAGAAGCCTTCTTCCAAATCCGCAAGGACATGGAGTCCCTCGTAAAACGCATGCAGCCAAAGGCAACACGCGATGGAAACTTGAACTTTGAAGGATTCTCTCGAATGGCTATTCCAATTTCAAAGCCTGCTATCATTGATGTCGCACCACCAAAGGTCGGGGCAACAACGCCGGCCTTTGTTCGAGCGGAGATCGCGATAGAAGTGGGAAGACTTGCAGATAATGTCAGGAGAGAATGGGACTCACTCCGCCCCGATGACGTTGTCTATCTTTTGGCGGTCCAGTCGAGCTCGTCACAGTCGGAACAAGGTGCATCTGAAGCCCCTCGGATGACCCACCTTCGAACGGCCGAGATCGTACAGGTACTTGACGAGCAAGGTCGCGCATTGCGACAATCTACTGGCCAGGCAAATGGTTCTCAGCCCAGAGCACGATTGAGAAGATTGATCGTAAACTTGGACGCGACTGCATTCAAAGCCGACAAGGACCAGCAGGCCCACGGCAAACCGGACATTTACCCCCTCATTAACGTGGTTGCACGGAGAAAGGGCAGGGAAAATAACTTCAAGTCAATTCTGCAGACGATGCAAAAGCTTATTGTCTCTGATATGACGCTTCCTTCCTGGCTCCAGGACATCTTCCTGGGCTATGGAGATCCCGCTAGTGCCCGATACACGCAGCTGCCAAACAGACTTAGCACTGTCGACTTCCGAGACACGCTTTTGGATTGGTCTCATTTGGTGGAAAGCTTCCCGGGCATTGAACCTTCTGGGGCTGAGAATGCCAGCTTTGGCCCGCCCTACGTGCTTGAATATGTTAACCAAGAGTCTGCAGCCGAGCCTCACGCGCCGAAGAAGCGACGCCGAGAACAAGCGGCCGAGACGGAGTTGGCACCTAGCAGTATGCGTGTTTCCACATACAAGCCACCAAACCCCGGTCCCTACCCCGTCGACACTCCAAAATTGAACAAGATCCGATTCACCCCGGCCCAAGTGGAAGCCATCGCATCCGGAACACAGCCTGGGCTCACCGTCATCGTGGGGCCGCCTGGTACTGGAAAGACCGATGTCACCACCCAAATCATTAACAACATTTACCATAACTTCCCCAATGAACGAACACTACTCATTGCACACAGCAACCAAGCTCTCAATCAATTATTCCAAAAGATCATTGCCCTTGATATTGATGAACGGCACTTGCTGCGACTGGGTCACGGCGAGGAAGAATTGGACACTGATTCCAACTACAGCAAGTACGGTCGAGTCGAATCCTTCCTTGACAACCGCAATCACTATTTGTCCGAAGTGATGCGCTTGGCAGCATCAATTGAGGCCGAGGGTGCGCATGGAAATTCATGTGAGACTGCAGGCTACTTCAATACAGTTTACGTGCAGCCAGCATGGGCCAAATTCTGGGATCGAGCCAATTCCGAAGGAACATCAAATGAAGATATTGTCGCCTCCTTCCCGTTCCAATCATACTTTGCAAATGCTCCCCAGCCCCTATTCGAAGCTGAAGCTGCGAAGGAGACAATCATTGATACTGCTGCAGGCTGTGAACGTCACATCGCTCGAATTTTCTCTGAGTTGGAGGATATCCGGCCATTCGAGATCTTGAGACAACCTCGCGATAAAGCGAACTATCTCCTCGTAAAGGAGGCGCGAATCATCGCGATGACCTCGACCCACGCAGCTATGCGCCGGCAAGAAATTGCCGATCTAGGCTTCCACTACGACAATGTGGTCATGGAAGAAGCGGCGCAGATTACTGAAGTTGAGAGTTTCATCCCCAACGCTCTCCAAAACATGAAGAACGGCGAACTTCCTCTCAAGCGTGTTGTTCTCTGTGGTGATCACCACCAGAACTCGCCCATTATTCAAAACATGGCCTTCCGTCAATATGCTCACTTCGAGCAAAGTCTCTTCTTGCGACTGGCGCGGCTGGGTGTCCCAGTGATCAACTTGGATAAGCAAGGACGCTCACGACCTAGCATTGCAGAGCTCTTCCGCTGGCGGTACAAGGAACTCGGAGATCTTCCGGTGGTCGAAACTGCCCCCGAGTACCAGCAGGCCAATGCCGGGTTCCAGTTCGACTACCAGTTCATCAATGTCCCCGACTACCAGGGTTCTGGAGAGCGAGAGCCGACACCTCACTTTATCCAGAATCTGGGTGAAGCCGAGTACGCAGTGGCCATGTATCAGTACATGCGACTCTTGGGTTATCCTGCTTCTAAAATCTCCATCTTAGCCACATATGCTGGGCAAACAGCTCTGATCCGGGATGTATTGAGTCACCGCTGTGGAAAGAACCCCATGTTTGGAATGCCCAAGATTGTGACGACAGTGGATCGCTACCAGGGAGAGCAAAATGATTGTGAGTTGACTTCCTCCTAAAGCGTATTTGCATCACTCAAAATATCGGAATTGCTAACATTTTTCTAGACGTGATTCTTTCTCTCACCCGAACTCGAAGCGTCGGGTACCTGCGCGATGTTCGCCGTCTGACCGTAGCCCTCTCCCGCGCACGACTGGGTCTGTATATCCTCGGCCGACGGGAAGTCTTCGAATCGTGCTACGAACTCAAGCCCGCATTTGACCTTCTTCTGCAACGACCGGATAAGCTCATGCTCGCGCCTGGCGAGATGTTCCCGTCGTCGCGGGAAGTCAACGCCGCTATTGAGGGCACGCCGATGGAAAGTGTCGAGCACCTCGGACAGTACGTGTTCGAGATGACACAGGCTAAGGTCAAGGCTATGGGTGATGGAGATATCACCATTGAGGATGCGGCGCCGGCTGACGAAGATGAATATCTGGACGAGGATGAGGTTATGGGAGCTGCTGACGGGGATGAAGATATTGTATGAATTGTTTCGCAAGTTAAATGGTAATAGCAGCCCAATAAAGGGATTTGTTGGATTGGGACTACTCCACGTTTTCTGCTTCTTTGCATTCTGAGAGGGACCCGGAATGGGCAGTTCATTTTACAGATTACATGCTTATCCCCTACATGGCAGCACTCAGTAAATGAAACTTGCGTAGAATTTCTGGTCTCAGGCAGAGTGGTATCATTTGGGGATATGAACAAGCTCATTGGATTCTATGAACAGTCTTCTCTGACGACTCCGACTTCCTCTTCTCTTCGGGCGTCTTTCAAGTTCTCAATTATTTAAAGTAGATGTGAGACTTGTTCGACCAAAACGCTCCGGCTTCATTGATCGTAATGCTCGATTTCCCTCTCATTGGTCCTTGAGCTTGTTCATTTCCTCCACAATATTATTGGGATCCTTCCAAGCCTGGGTCACGTACCTGAGCGACATTAGCAGTTTATTTTCGGAAATAGGATAGGGTACACACTTTGTGTGGCTCCCACGGGCAACGATATGTCCGTTGGGGTCCGTGAACTTGATGTTCGTGAAAGCAAGGGTCTTGCCAACTAAACGCGGCTAGTTAGTTGATGTCTAACAGACCAAACAAAGAGATGCGATGAAGCAGTCAGATAACGCACATTTATCACAATTCACCTCCTGACGTTGAAAGTTAGTACCCGTTTGGTAATACTGTGAGGGATAGACAGAGAAAGACATACGGCCAGGATTCGGTCACCAACTTTGCCACCTGAGTTTAAGTATGTGACTAGAGAGGATCTTATTAGAAACAGAGAAGTTGGGTGGGATACCGATTTTATAAACCTACCATTCAGGTCTGTTGACACACCTGTCGCGAACAAGCCGCGAGATGCCACAGCCAACGAACCTCCGAGGTCGACTAGAGCATATTTTAGCCAAATATCACAAATTTTGTGCCACGCAGAGTGATCTCCTACCCATGCTTGCAATGGTGCCTCCATGGAGGATATTCAGACGGTTCTATGTGATATAGATGTCAGAGACGACGTCCCATGTAAGAAGTTGAGTCTTTAAGAAGGTTCCCAACTATGCTTGCTAGAGAGACAGCAGCACAAAGAGACATACTGTATGCTGCTTCTGAATATCCAGCTCAAAGTTGACCACACCGGGCCTGGCGGCTGTAACACGGAGCTATAGTAGAGGTCAGTGATTAGTTCAATGAAACTGCTAGGAAACTGGCTCAGACTTACATTATCCAATAGCCTTCAGTCGAATTAAAGCTAGATGTTAGTTCTTTTCTAATATCTCCAAGGTAAAGACAAGTTGGGATGAATTCCATACCGAGGCTCCAGACCCGAGGTAGCTCGGAAGGACTCCCAGACCTATAGATAGTGATATGCATTAGTAGGAAGTGAATGATAGGCGATGAAGGTCTTGAATAACTACCGAGCGGACAAATCTAAGAGAAGCCATTTCTAAAAAAGTGACAAATTGACAAATGTCCCGGAGATTGAATGATATAGGGAGGAGTTAACAGGTCCAACGTTCTACTTGACTCGGCGACTCGGGAGCACCCCGGAACTGCACTTTATGGCCGCTTCGGTCACCGTACCATCGTCATTTCATCCATCCACTTCAACCAGACACTTTCTTCTCTTTCAGTTGCCTGAGAACTTGGTTTCTCACAGCTCACTATGGCGAGTGCAACATCCCGTCCTCTGGAGTACCTGGAGGGTCTCCCAGGGACGACTTTTTATAAGCTATACCAACAACCATCCACAGCCCTGGCGATCTTCCGGCGCATGCTGCCTGATCTAGGTACATCGAACTCACCCACACGGAAGGGATATTGTGCTAACAGTGCATATAGCAAAATGCTTTGTGATGGCCCTACTATATCTCAAAGACCCTCTTCCAACAGCTGATCTGGAAGTTTGGGTCAACTCAGAGAGCAAGAAGTGAGTGGCTTATCTGACAGGTCTGGCTCCAGTCATTACTGACAGTGTTCACGCAAGGGAACGGGATAATGCGCTTTCAATATTGGGTCGACTTCACATTCTATCTACGACCCTCACAGGCGAAAATGTCCGCGCATACATGGTCACTAACCCATTCGCCGCTTCGCTTCGACAAGCTCTGATGGGTGCCGAGGACTCTCACTCTTTCGGTGTATTCTCTCAAGCTCCGGAACACACCATGATCTCGATTGCAGACTTGGACGAATATGCTAGGCGGCAGTGGGAAGGTGTTATGGGGTACATGGTTGGAACTAGTGCCTTGAGTGGACAACGCGACGCGGTCAATTTGAGCAAAGGTGTCAAACAGCTTCTCCAAGCGGGACACCTAGTTGAGATCCGAGGCAACCGTGTCGACATCACCAAAGACGGGTTCGGATTTGTGCTTCAGGACGTGAACACCCAGGTCTGGCATATCTTGATTCTTTATGTCGAGAGCGCCGAGGCCATCGGCATGGATAGCGTCGAGGTTCTCTCGTTCCTGTTCCTTCTGAGCAGCCTGGAACTCGGATCGTCTTACGACAAAAGCCACATGACACCAAACCAGCTTCGCACTCTCGCGGACCTCGCCGATTTTGGTATTGTCTACCAGGAAGACGCCGACGCGACACGCTTTTATCCCACCCGTCTCGCAACTACACTAACATCTGACTCGAGCGCTCTGAGCAACCCCGTCACAGGCTCTCTCACTGGACCAGCGGGACCGTCTGGTGGCTCTAGCTCTGGGTTCATCATCATCGAAACCAACTACCGACTCTACGCCTACACTTCATCACCCCTACAAATATCCCTCATCTCCCTCTTCACAAACCTCAAATACCGCTTCCCTAACCTAGTCACCGGCAAAATCACCAGACAGTCTGTCCGTCGAGCCATCGAGATGGGAATCACTGCCGATCAAATCATCTCATATCTATTATCGCACGCGCACCCACAGCTGCGAAAACACAGCGCCGCTCAATCCAACGGCAAGGGTGTCCCGGCATCTGTGCTCCCGCCTACCGTGACAGATCAGATCAGACTGTGGCAGCTGGAGCGGGACCGTCTCCGGGCCACGGCGGGCTTTTTGTTCAAGGATTTCACCAGCTTGACCGAATATCAGGCCCCTTGTCAGTATGCCGCGGAGATTGGTGTGTTGGTTTGGAAGTCAGATCGGAAGCGAATGTTCTTTGTCACGAGGCATGAGCAGGTGGCTGCATTTTTGCGAAGTCAAAAGGTAGGCGGGAAGTAACATAGTCATGCAAGGCATAAGACTTTCAGTCATTATGAATTTAGCAAAAGCAGAAGACAAGATCTTTGGGGTGTTATGGATACTGGAAAGCATGTTACGAAATTACGACCCTTGGCCGTGCGGCTGTTGATATAAAAATTGTACAATAAACAATGAAAGAAGATTATGATCGAAAGAGGGACTACCGCATGTCATATACATCGGATTTAACCTAAGTACATACTGCTCCCTACATACACCTACGCACCAATCTTCTGCTTAAAAGTCACCCATTTATCCCCAACCTTCCTCCGATAAGTAACATAAGTATCTCCTCCAACATCATCCGGCAGAAGAACCCTAACATCCGAGACCCTCGCCTCGGCCGGCAGCTTCGGCACAAGCAAATCCTCATCCCGAGGCAGAATATACCCAACAGACGAATTGACACCGACATTGCCAGCATAAAAGTCCCCCTCTTCAATCCTAATAATCTCCTCCACAACATTCGCCAAAAGCGAACCATTCCACAGCCCCTCCCGATGCGGCGCAGCCCTTAACACCCTCACAGCCTGCCGCCGGATCCGCGGAACACGGCACTTGATAGCCGTGTAATATACAGGTGGGATGTACCCCATCTCAATGGTAAACCCCTCCTTAGCACAGTCCAGTACCTGCATATAGTGGTTGATTATGGAGGATTTTTCAAGCAGTTCTAGTAGACAAGCTTCTAGAATTGTGTTCATGTCGGACACCTCCTCGAAGCCCTGGAAGGTGACTTTCAGCTCGTCGGATGCCCTGGCTATCTTAAAAAGATCATTCCCCTGGAATGCTGCTGCTGACCAGCTTTTCCATATATCGAGGAAGCCGGTCATTATTCTGATGAAGATCTCGGTGTAACCGTCGAAGATCAGCTCGGATTCCACTTCTTCTGGTGCTAGGCAGGTGGAGGCCATTATTGTGGCCATTTCGTGGTGCACCCGTAGGAGGACGTAGCCGGTTTGGTCTTTTCCTGATATCTTGTTGGTTTCGAGGTGTCCGACCGAGGCAGTGTATGTTTTACGCCAGAGAGATAGGTCTGCGAGGATTTTGCTTTGTGTGTCGAGCATTTTTTGGTTGCTGGTTGGGGTCTGGGATGCGTGGTGGTCGTGGTAATGGTTTTTTAGACAGTGGACTCTGTTCAAGAGGTCGTCTAGGTTTCGTCTTGCTTGTAGGAGGGAGGTGAATGTATGAGGGAGACAAGCGATTTGCGGATCTGTTGTTACAAGATACACGTGTGAAGGCACATGGCCGAACATGGCTGATTGAATGCCTAGTCGGGAATAGGCGTCGACCAGGGCATTGTAGGCGAAATCTTCTTCGGGGGATATAATGGTCGGCACCATGGATGACGGAGAACGAGAACGTGTTGCGGATATATCGGAGAGAAGCTTCATGCCATATTGGAGATGTGCACACCCCATCTGATACTGCCCACGCATGTATTCTAGAATGATAAAGAGCATGCATGTAATCAGCGCTACCCGGAGAGAATAGCTATTGTTGGTTGTATCGGTGCGTAGATGTTGAATTGCCTTGTTATATTGCGTCAGGGTGAAACGCTCCACATCATATTTATTTAGGCCGGTGAAATATTGCTGCTGGAACCGATGCGTACAAGCCAAGGCAATGACAGCATGACGCGCAGCGGGCTCCTGTGCGCTAGCTTGGAAGATTAAGGACTCCCAGAAGTCGGACGGAAATAAACCAGCGAACTTCCTTGCAGTTCGTGCGATCAGCCAGTCGAAGCATAGCTGTTCCTCGTGGCCGAGATTGCCAACTGGAACCGGTGTGCAGTAGACTGATAGAGCGCGGTTGTTCTGTGGTTGCCCATATGTAGTTCCACCTCCTCCCCAAATACCATAGCCATCGCAGACTCGGTTGGTTGATACACAGCGTCGGCAAGCTGGTCGGCCTTCGTCACATTTGACCCGGCGGATCCTTGACTCAATTAGGCAGAGCTAAAATAAGGATGGGCAAATACTTACTTGCAGGTTTTGCATCCCGTTTTGGACTTTTTGCGGGGTGGGGGTTGTCTGTGCATATCTGCCGTTGAGGAATAGGACAACATTGGACTCTCGGCTGAAACTTAATGTAGTTGGTGGAGGTTAGCTCCGAACGAGAAATATCACCCACGCCAAACGTACCAATAAGGCGGCGGTGTGCTTGGCATGGGAGTTAGGAGTGGAGTGGATCGGAGTTAATCGGAGTTAATCGTTAACTACGTGAAGATAGGACTGGTATGCTCGCTTTTAATGTATTCTTATTGGCATACAACATACGAAGTATGTTGTATATCGCTCCACGGGATGACGTCCTTTCGAATGGTCTCAGCCTGTGAATAGACTCAATGATCATTGGAAGAGACATTTTGAGTTACCTGTAAAAATATAAAAAGCCCTGGGATTCCTGGTAGGGGGTATTATTTTTCTTTTCCCCTGCAATACTCTGATTATATTGTTCACATCTTCTCACTAGTTTTCAGCCATGTCTCTTCCAACTCGATCTCTTGGACGCAACGGCCCTCCAGTCCCTGCAATTGGTCTTGGACTCATGAGCCTCGGCAGTATCTATGGATTTGCCGGTTCCCTCGAAGACAAGGTAGCTTTCCTCGAGCATGCCCATTCGATCGGGGCACGATTCTGGGATACAGCCGACATGTACTTTGACAGCGAGGACGCAGTGGGAGAGTGGGTGAAGAGGTCAGGAAATCGCGATGACATCTTCCTGGCTACCAAGTTTGCCATCCAATATGACGCCGCCACAGGTGGTCAAATAGTCCGCTCTGACCCCGAGTATGTCAAGGCTGCTTGCGAGAATAGTCTGAAGAAACTCGGGGTTGAAGTTATTGATCTCTACTACTGTCATCGGGTAGATGGCGTGACACCTATTGAGAAGACTATCGAGGCTATGGTTGAGTTGAAGAAGTAAGTCACACCCCATTGGTTTGAGAGGCTCTAAAACTGATAAACTATCAGCCAAGGCAAAATCAAGTATCTTGGATTATCTGAATGTTCAGCTGTAACTTTGCGCCGTGCCCATGCCGTTCACCCCATTGCCGCGTATCAGGTAGAATATAGTGCGTTCACCTTGGAAATTGAATCGTCCACCAACGATATTTTGGCTACCTGCCGTGAACTTGGTATCACTGTCGTTGCCTACAGCCCCGTTGGCCGAGGTCTCTTGACTGGGCAAATTCAATCGTTCTCCGATATTCCCGAAAATGATTTCCGCCGCAAACTCCCCAAGTACGCACAGGAACACTTCCCGAAGATCCTTGAACTAGTTCAGGGGCTGAAAGATATTGCCAATAATCACGGCAGTACTCCTGCCCAGGTTGCTATCGCATGGCTTCTTGCTCAGGGCTCTGATATCATCCCTATTCCCGGAACAAGATCTATCAAGAATCTTGATGAGAATACCCAGTCCGTCTTTCTTAATTTGACAGATACGGAGCTGCAAGATATTCGGACGTTGATCTCGCAAACTGAGGTCCCTGGATCGCGGTATCCCGCTATGTGAGTTTATCCTTGTAGTCCACGTGAACATGTTGCTAACATTAGTTATCTCAGGATGATGGACAGCATATTTGGTGATACCCCGCCACTCTAGGTCTAGCGGAGCCTCTTTTAATTTATCTTGATCTGCGATATAGTGTTTTTGTTTAGTGTAGAGTACATTTATATACGAAAACATATGCCATCAACATGAAAGGTTTATACCGAGTGGACTTTTATTCAAATTGTGCCTGTTGTATACATAGCTGGGAATTCTCGCGTGGCTTGCTGATTGGTCACTTTGAGTACTTTCCAAACCCTGAACGTAGTTTTGATTGGTCACTATGAGTCCATAGCTTGGATCACTCATGTTGATTGGTCAAATTTAGAACAATTGGGGCGATTCGGAAGAGGGTCTAATGAACGACCTAGGTACCTAGTAACTAGTTAGTTAATATGTGGTTAAATACTTCGTCAAGGAAACACAAAGTGAAGTGGAGTGGATGTCGCGTAAGATCGCATTCGGAAAGAACTAAACCGATCTCGCTCTTTTTAAAGGATTGGCTGCTATACCTAACCCGAGCGGACTAATAATTGGCCACTTTGAGTACACCTTCAGTCTTTTGCTGTAATTGGTCACTATGTGTTCAGTTTTGTTTACTATCATTGATTGGACACATCCAGGACATACTAGAAAGGTATATTATGCTTTATTTATTTTGCTACGTCCTCAATCAAATTCTTTTTCACAGCCTCTGCCGTCATTCCCGTGGAAGACATAGAAAAGAAAATCACCCAAATATTGCAATTTACTGGTATCAGACAATCGCCTTCTCCCCTAAATTTTTACAGATGATTCCAAGACTTGAAAATGAAGCACCCAGAGACGATAGCGCCAAGGTCCAAGCACAGTTCATCCACGATGGATGCTTTGGACACCTTATATAAAAAAGAGACGCTCACTGGCAACGAGGACTCTTCTACCTCTGAGGTTGAAAACCCGTCACCGCATATCCCCGTAACAACCGACCTAGCACCTCTCAACATCGAGATCACATATCCCGAGGGTGGTCGTAATGCTTGGTTGGTGGTATTGGGTGCGTGGTGTGGCTTGACCTCATCACTGGGTATCTACAACACATCTGGTGTGTTCGAGGTCGTTATATCCAAAGTGATATTACCGGAGGCTTCTTCGTCTACTCTTGGCTGGATATTCTCAGCCTACGCCTTCGTGAACTGGGTCTGTGGAGTACAGATCGGACCGACCTTTGATGCCATGGGCCCGCGTGGACTGATGGTGGCCGGGACTATTTGCACGCTAGTTGGCATTTTTACACTCAGTGTCTCAACAGGTAAGATCGGTTCTCATTTCATATCACATGCAATGGTTCATTGCTCGTACACTCTGCCGATATACACATTCCCTTGCTAATGGCAATATAGAATATTACCAGATCTTCTTGTCATTCTCCATTATGACCGGCATCGGCTCATCTCTTCTCCTAACCCCATCAATGGGCTCCGTCGCTCATTGGTTCATGGAGCGTCGCGGTCTCGCCAGTGGTATAGCATTCATAGGAGGTGGTTTTGGTGGTGTTCTCTTTCCCCTAATGATACAATCACTCCTCCCTCAAGTTGGCTGGGGATGGTCGATCCGAATCCTCGGATTTGTGCTTCTTGTACTCTGCGCTATCAGCGTGGCATTTTGCCGAAGCAGAATCCCTCCCCGAAAAGGAGCTGAAACGACTTGGCGAGATACATTGCCAGATTATAAGATCTTCCTAGATGGAACAGGAGCCATGGCACTCACAACCTCCGGAGTCCTTTTGACGGATTTGGCTTACTTCATCCCCATTACTTACATACCACGTTACTATATCGATCGACAGCATCTGTCTGATGAGGAGGCCCTGACGGGATCGTCGGCGTTTGCATACCAGCTTCTCGCGATTCTCAATGCTGCTTCGTGCGTTGGCCGATACGTGGCGGGCGACATGGCGGATCGATTTGGCAGATACAATACCATGATTGTTTCGTTGTTTTTCTGCACGGTATCAGTTCTAGGTTTCTGGCTACCGGATATCCTCGCAGCAGACCTCGATTCTTACGCACTACTGGTAGCCTTTATCTTACTATTTGGGTTCTGCAGTGGTTCAAATGTTAGCTTGACACCAATATGCCTGGGTCAGCTTTGCGAAACTCAAGAATATGGTCGATATTATGCGAGTTGTTTTACGGTAGTATCCTTTGGCGTCCTGGCAAGTATCCCCATTGCCGGGGGTCTTTTAGATGCGTCGGAGGGCACAGGGAAAGAAAAGTATTGGGGAGTCGCTCTTTTTGCTGGACTCAGCTATGCGGGGGCTTTTTTGTCTTTTCTATGGGTCAGGGTAAAAGTGAAGGGGAGATATTGGAGGATAAGGTGGTAAAACCCCAGGTTTTCGCGGGTGGAAAGACCATAAAAGGCTCGCAACAATGTATTAGCAACAATGTATTAGTTCAGCCTTGACTCTTATATACTAGGGCTGATAATGTTTCAATGCACTTTCCCCCGGGCGGTGAGTCTCCAGAGCAAACCTTGCGGTGCGCCACTTCCGTTCTTGTAGGAGCTTTCCCATCCCGAAGGGTTAACCTTCGGAGTATTCCAAGGGTCCTTACATTCTAATGTAAAAGAAATATATATATATAGTCCTCTCACTATGCAAGCACAACCTTCGACATCGATCGTTTCCGATCAGTTCCAAACTTCCCAAGCTCGTTGGCGCGCCCTCACACAACGCACTCCTTCCTCCCACTCTTCCTTTCTCTACGGCGTCAAATCTACCAAGATCTACTGCCGCCCGACCTGTCCCGCACGCCTTGCTCGAAGAGCCAATGTTGTATTTTACGACACAGAAGACCAAGCGCGACGCGATGGCCACCGGCCGTGCAAGAGATGTCAACCAGATAATTCGAGTTTCGTTGGAGAGAGGGAGGAGGTTGTCATAAGGGTTCTATCGCTTTTGCGGACTAAGCGAGATGATCATGGCCTGACAGTAAAGCGGGGTTTGAAGGAGTTATCACAAGAGGTCGGTGTGACACCGAGTTATCTTTGCCGTGTGTTCAAGAGGACAATGGGGCTTACACTAGGAGCGTATATGAGAGAGTTTGAGAGAGAGGTAAGTGAGGACAAGACAGAGAGGGAGGCTCGGTCTCCCATCACAGTTGAATCTGGTATGAGTGCTGCCTCGACGGGACTCTGGACCCCAGCAACAACGGCAGGCGGCCCCATGGCACCCGTCGAGGGTCCGAAGGACGAGTCGGCAGAGCAGCAAGTGGGCAATGTTGCAGAGGCTCTGGACTTGAACTTCGATTTCGACGAGTGGTTCTGGGCTGGTGGCTTTGTTCAAGAAGACTTCTGGAATGAAGGCGCCTTGGATGATAGCTTACACGCAGAGGCTTTGAATGATGGCGTGTACAGATGGGATAACTATATAAGGGTATAAGGTGGTTGATCTCGTTTGGGTAGTTTAGTTATTTATATACATCCTTGGAACAAGTGTGCATATTTGGTAGTTACATAGTATTCTCACTACTCGTGTGCTTTCTTGTATACTTGAAAGTTTTTTTATTATCTAGCGTCTTCTTATTCTCTGATAACCTGTTCATTCCCTCATCAACTAAGATGGCCCCATTCTGGTCTTTACATCCGTATGTTTCGGCCCCGGGGGTACTTTCATTATCTAATCAGTAACATCCTAATTACCGCGTATAACAAGCATCGAATAAGCACTCGGCCCTATATAAATAGACAGGAGAATACAGTATCTCGTACTATCTCGTATACAATATTATTGTAACCCCTCGCATCACCGAAAGAAACACGGCAAGTGGGTCAGATTATAATACCCTTATGGACGAATTATTGATCTTCTTTACAATAAATTCAGACTATCACTTTCTATTACTATTATAATACTATTATAATACTATTATAATACAAAGTACGAAGTACATTTAGTCCACTTGGCACCCCTTTGGGGGGGGCCAGGACTGGGGCGCGGAAACCAGCCTTCCAACAAATTAGGGGAAACCCCGCGCCACTAAAAAAAAAATAAAACACCTCACGGTCCGTGTGTTCTCTCCCTCTTCCCAACCATATCAGATCTTCCCAATGAGGTCATGTCCTCCCTCAGCAATGCCAGTCCAGGGAACTGGATTACCGGCAGCTACACAGGAAACAGTATTGGTGTCCGTATCACGATCGCAACATTTGTCGGTGTCGCATGGTACAACGTGATCGAGCTAGTCGTGCTCATCTTCCTAACCTTCAAACGCTATGAAGGCCCCTATTTCTGGAGTATGCTGGTAGCCAGCGTTGGAATCCTGCCATATTCGATCGGCTACTTGATTAAATTCTTTAATCTGACGACTGCAACTTGGGTGCCCGTCACGCTGTTAACAATCGGCTGGTGGACCATGGTAACCGGCCAGTCGTTCGTGCTGTATTCGCGTCTCCACCTGGTGATCCAGAACTTGCGCGTATTGCGCATGGTGAGAACTATGATCATCTCAAACATTTTCCTACTACATATACCCACGACCGTCCTCACATACGCGGCCAACTTCTCCAGTTCTGCCGCCTCGGTTGCGGGGTACGATGTCATGGAGAAGCTACAGCTGACGGGCTTCTGTGTGCAGGAGGTTATCATCTCTGGGTTATACATGTGGGAGACAAATCGCATGCTGCGCTTGAATCAGGACCATGTTAGTCGCAAGACTATCTTGCAGCTGCTCGCCGTCAACGTGGCTTGTATCCTCATGGATATCGCGTTGATGATCATCGAGTTTAGGAACTACTATATCTACCAAACCACCCTCAAGGCCACGCTGTACAGTATCAAACTGAAACTCGAGATTGCAGTCCTCGGCAAGCTGGTCAATATCGCCCACCAGCACATGTGGAGATCCTCGTCTTTCACTACGGGCGCTGGGCAGTACCCGTCTTTCGTTGATCCGAGCCGTGCCTTGCACGATTTCAGCCATGCAGACTCTTTGGCTACCAGCTCGGGATCCAAAGGCCGCGCGTCTGGAACCGAGGCTATCGACAGCGACGTTCGATGACCTTGGGTGTGTTTCTACCTCCCTCAAAGTCCTCGACCAAGCCAAATCCCCAACTTGGTCCATCCCACAATATTGCGATATCATCTGCTGTGCGTGAGACGATCATCGCCCGAAGTGGTCCCACTCAACCGTCTCGCCAACGACGCAACAGCCAGCATTCGCTTCGCGCCTGTCGTTCAAGCTTTGACCTCTCCGCTGAGGCTGAGGCTTAGCTGAATCGGTAATCAGCCATGGAATACCCCGCACTGCCTCGCCTACATTGAGTCATTCCTCCGAATGACCAAGAGCGAACAACACATCGAAAGCGAATGTATTTTCGAGCATGCTGGAATGGCCCCCGCGCAAACCTGGGAGAAACTAGTATTTATATTCATCCGGCAGAGATAGACATATCTGAATGCCATAATCTCATCGCTCTGAGGCTTCTTTTGAAACATGTTGAGCATTCTGGTAAAAAATAATTCTCTACGACTTGAAAAGGTCACCGCTGAGTGTAGATGTTTGGTGCATAATTCATAATAGGTTGGCCTAGGAATTTGTTGCCACGGAGTATACTGTAAGATAACATGTTATTTTGTTAGGCGAGTATAGACAACTATATGCTAAGAAAGGCGATGATTTCTAATCCCGAGGTCTAATCGTCTAAAAAAAAGTAACTTGGATGTTTCTCCAAGGTGCTTTTAACCTGATTTCCACTCACTTTTTCACAGTTGTATAGTTCCAACTGAAATTCCGTCTTCTAGGCGATGCACAATAATATCTCCCCTCCTATATTAACAAACTCAGCCCCGATAACGTCATGTTCGTATTCCAACCGAAAAAATCCCGAAGAAAAAAAAAAAGTCGAACGAAAAGTCCAAAATCCACGTTTGTGTCCTTTGCCGATCCGAGGCTGAGGCGCCTACAACCGGCCCGGTGATGTCGGGAGTGGGGGAGATAGCGGAGAATGCACACACAAGTCGTTGAACATTTGAAGTGAAAAGAAAAAAAAGGAAAGGGTATATTTGTCTATGTATCTGTATCTATAGCTGTATCTATAGCTGTAGCTGTAGCTGTATATTTATAATTTATAAGTCCAAAGAAACCTCAAGATCCCTTCCGACCACCAACTTGATCATGCAAGTAAACCCGGCCTTCTGTATTGACGAACCCGCCAATTCCAAAAGCGGGGATAATACGACACATGCGGAGTAGTGACGCGCCAATCCAGTCGCGACTGACACGGTTGATCCGGTCTTTGGTCGGCATCACCTGTGGCCGGTTGTATAGATCTAGACCGAGGAGATGGATTGGTGTGCTGATGAGTTGGATAGAGGCTGGGATAGCGAGCTGGGCAATCAGGATCTTGAGGTATTCTTGGGAGGCAATGGAGTCCGGGATCGATGCTGAGACCATGGCGGGGAGACTGAAGGAGCCGAAGATTGTGAGGGCATCCCGGACGAGGAAGGCGGAGTATGTTGCTACTGGGATTCGAGTGCGGCCGATTGAGCGGGCTGTTTTAGGGGGTGAGGTTGTGTTGGAGGTAGACGTAGAGGCAGAGGCAGAGGCAGAGGCAGAGGTGGAGGTGGGAGTTGGAGTTGGGCTTGATGGGTTTGTGTTGTTTGTGGTTGGCACGGAGGTGTTGCTGTGGCCGAATAATTGGGCGAATTTCACGTCCTTCCAGATGCCCACGGAGGAGTTGACTATGAATGTTGAAGCGAAGGTGGTCATGCCGGCGATAGCATGGTCGATCTTCGGGTACCACTTGCTCAGGATGGTCTCTGAGGCATTGGCTGTGGCGAAGGTTGCAGTGTAAAGGGACCAGACAAGGAGACTGGGTCGTGATGTTAAGAAAGTTGCAGGCTGTGTGAGGGAGAACCAGAGGTGTCTGCGGAATGCCGGGAAGAGAGGTTGGTTGTAGAATGATTTCTCAACGACGAGTCTAGGCGAGACTGGTCAGTATATGTCGATAAGATGGAATCTGACTTGGCTTTCTTTACCTGTCAAAGATCATCACCGCGGGCGTTATCAAGGTTGCTGAACCTGCAGCAACGACTACATCGGCCGCCAATAGTTCCGCCATCCGGCTTTTGGTGTGCTGGATACCGAATGGCATGGCCTGCTCTTGGATTTGCTGTGTCATGGCTTATAATGTATGGTTTAAGCAGGCAATGCTATCATAATCTGTTCGTGACCGTCTGGCAGTCTGTTGAATTCGTGATGTAGAGACACCCCCGGGAAAGATTTGGTAAAGCTGCAATCTAACCGGACTGACACTGTTAGATCAAATAAATCCAACGCGGGGCATTCCATGAGATAACTTACTGTGGATCAAATGTTGATCAATGGAACGGGTTAGGGCTGCGCGATTTGGGGTGCACTAGAAAATAAAAGGAGGGAGAGGAAGAGAGTGAATAGAAGAAGAAATTCCCCTCCGTAGATATATACCCAGCCCTCTTTCTATAATGTAATGCCAACATCTTATCGAGAAATCAAGCACCATCGACATTTATAGATCGCCGGCTCAAAAAGACAACGCGTCGGCCAAGCGAACCAATCGCAGTGTCAACCGGGCCGGCGGCCGGTGCTTGATACGGGCCGGTGATTGGTGCGGTCGCCGCGCCGTGATCGACCTGATTAACTCAGGCACAAGATTCTAGAAGTTGGAGTTGTATTGTACTACTCCCTGAGGAATAGGAGTGTCCAGCATAACGCGTATGCTTGCCTCAATCGGACTGATGTATAGTTCTTCCCCGCATTCCCCCGATCTCAACATTATTTCCTTACTTTATGTTATTTGATGAGTTTTTCCCCCTTCTTTTCACCGACTTCTGCAGAGTGGGGTTACGATTCGCCTTCAAAATCAGGCAGTAAAAAAAGAGATGTGGTTTTCGATCTGCATCCTGACATGTCCCTGACTAGTACAGCCTCACTAATAGGAGTAAATGTACATGACTATGGGGAGAGATAGAAGAAAGAAGGTTGATTAGCTATGAAAGCAAGCGGGAATACCCCCATTTCTATGTACTGTACTTAAAAAGAGTCAAATTGCAAATAAAAAATGTAGAGAAAGCAGCCCCGGAGATACTGACTGCATAAAGGCTTAACAATACCCCGATAAAAGCTTCGTCTATGTTTCTCCAATAGCCGGACACCGACAGATAAGAACCTCGAGGAATATGCACAGTCATATATTTCCACTTGTGCATAGACCTTTTCACTTCATGGTATTATGATTGACTATAAGCGTCACATTCCATGTTGCCCAGGCTATACCCACGGATAGTATATGATACACCAAATATTGTCGGGATACAAGTCAAGATTTGGGCATTAAAGATCGATTTCGAGTTGACATTTCTGTGTGAGCATCACTGGGCACCAATATACCAGCAAGTGGACC